AAAAGTTTTGTGCCAACTGCTCCCTCAATAGGAGGTTGACTAAACATTCAACGCTGGGGATGCCATGCGAGCACAACAGGGCCAGCACCTTGGTAAACACCGGAGCTGCAGAAGACAGGCCAATGGGTAGGTCTATGAACTGGTAGTGTAAGGGCTCCACAAAACATAAGAAATGTCAATGCATTAGAAAATGACAAACAGGTACACATGATGTCCACAGCAGCCAAAGTCTGAGGAAGAGAGGCAACGGCAGACCTGGTGGATTCTGGGCCTGAAGCATCTCAGCTTTAGATTTGGGAAAGGTGAACAAGCTGGATTAAAATCCTTGAAAGTGTTCTGCCACAGCAATTATTGTAATGACAGTTTAGTCCAAAAGACTGAAGAGTACTTGATGGAGATCTGCTAATTTGAGCAGTGACACAGGAAAGTTGGAGGTGAGAAACTGAGGTGGTTGCAGGGAGTGAAATTTCCATCTGTAACCCTGAGATCTCACCTTCTGCACCCAAGTGTCTGAGATACAAGCTATCCAAGTGTCCACAAAGGTTGACAACTGCAGTTAGAGAAACCTTTTCAGCACAAATTTGTGTCCCCAATTCTAAGGGTATGGCAGACTTTGTACCCCAGACCTTGCAGATGGACTGGGAATCAAATTCAGAGGGTGGTCTCAAAAAAGAGTGTGCAAGAGTGGAAAAATTAAAGCATTGTTTACCAGAGAGGAAAAATGCTTTGTATGCTTTTCCTTAGGCTTTTTCCGGAGGAAGGTGTGTTCTCTTGGTACCATTATCACAGATGCTACTGGTAACAAGAGTAGATGCAAAAAGCCATCATTCTCCAAAGAGAGAAGGCTTGTAACTGCTTATCAGAAGGGTCCTCTCCCAACATCACTTGGTTTATTTTACAAAAAGAGGATTCCTCATACCTGTGCAGAAGGAGAAATACAGTGTCTTGAAAAAGTATTCATACCCCTTATTGTTTTCCACATTTTGTCACGTTACAACCAAAAACAAACGTATTTTATTGGGATTTTATGTGATAGGCCAACACAAAGTGGCACATAATTGTGAAGTTGAAGAAAAATGATAAATGTTTTTCAAAATCTTTTACAAATAAATGAAAAGTGTGGCGTGCATTTGTATTCAGCCCCCCTGAGTCAATACTTTGTAAAACCACCTTTCACTGCAATTACAGCCTCAAGTATTTTTGGGGATGTCTCTACCAGTTTTGCACATCTAGAGAGTGAATTTTTTGCCCATTCTTCTTTGCAAAATAGCTCAAGCTCTGTTGGATTGGATGGAGAGAGTCTGTGAACAGCAATTTTCAAGTCTTGCCACAGATTCTCAATTGGATTTAGGTCTGGACTTTGACTGGGCCATTCTAACACATGAATATGCTTTGATCTAAACTATTCCATTGTAGCTCTGACTGTATGTTTAGGGTCGTTGAAACTGGGATGGAGGTTCACCTTCCAGCAGGACAAGTCCTTTGCAGACTTTAACAGGTTTTCTTCTAAGATTGCCCTGTATTTGGCTCCATCCATCTTCCCATCAACTCCGTTTGAACTTTTTGGCCTAAAAGCAAAATGCTTAAAATTTTTGTCTCATCTGACCAGTGCAACTTCTTCCACACATTTGCTGTGTCCCCCATATGGCTTCTCGCAAACAGGACGCCTTATGGCTTTCTTCTCGTCACTCTTCCATAAAGGCCATATTTGTGGAGAGCACAACCAATAGTTGTCCTGTGGACAAATTCTCCCACCTGAGCTGTGGATCTCTGCAGCTCCTCCAGAGTTACCATGGGCCTCCTGGTTGCTTCTCTGATTAATGCTCTCCTTTCCCAGTCTGTCAGTTTAGGTGGACGGCCATCTCTTGGTAGGTTTGCAGTTGTGCCATACTCTTTCCATTTTCAGATGATGGATTGAACAGTGCTACGTGAGATGTTCAAAGCTTGGGATATTTTTTTTTTTCTTTTATAACTTAACCCTGCTTTAAACTTCTCCACATCTCTATCCCTGACCTCTCTGGTGTGTTCCTTGGCCTTCATGATGCGGTTTGTTCACTAATGTTCTCTAACAAACGTCTGAGAGCTTCATAGAACAGCTGTATTTATACTGGGATTAAATAACACACAGGTGGACTCTTATTTACTAATTAGGTGACTTCTGAAGGCAATTGGTTCTACTAGATTTTAGTTAGGAGTATCAGAGTAAAGGCGGCTGAATACAAAAGCACACCACACTTTTCAGATATTTGTAAACCTTTCTGAAAACAATTTCTCATTTTCCTTCCACTTCACAATTATGTACCACTTTGTGTTGGTTTATCACATAAAATCCCAATAAACTACATTAATGGTTTTGGTTGTAACATGATAAAATGTGGAAAATTTCAAGGAGTATGAATACTTATTCAAGGCATTGTAACTAGCATATTTTTCACTTTTTATAGATTGTACCTTGTTCTTGAGGTATGTCTATAATGCTCAAGGTACTATATTAGTCAACATATGTTCCCAAGTTTAAAGCTTAAAACACCGGAAATGATTGTGAGTCCTGCGCAGCTCAATTTTGACAGCCCATTCATTTCAATGGGCTGTCAAATGCACAAAAAAAGTACAGCAGGCGAGACTTTTAGGCCTCATGCAGACTGGGAGTTATAAATGCTACTTTTAGAGGCATCTTTTTTCTGGCTCTAAATGCACCTCAGTGTTATCCTATGTGCCCATGCCCACATAGGCATTTAGAGGTGAGGGGTTTAGTGGGAGGAAAAAAAAAAAAAAAACCCACAGCCAGTGCATTCAGGAGCAGCAGTATTTTGGCAGGAAAAAATGCCTGGCGTGCCTAAACATGTGTAAACGTCAAGTGCTTGGGCATTCATTAGCACACATTTGCAAATACATGCAAACTAAACCAGTTTTTAACTCAAATACCTGTGTAAACTACAGTAACGGCACCCCGATATTCTGTAGTTCCTAACTCTACAAATTTTTAGAGCCCCCATAGTAGAGGTACATGTATTTAATGGATAGATCCAAGGGCAGGGGGAGCTGAGGGAGCCCACCCCTCCTTAAAAGGTACAGGAGAGCACTGGACACCCAACATGTAGCACAATGGCAATCAGGGTGTCCAGTGCACCCACTTACCAACAATACAACAGTACAAAAAATGGCCACTGCCCCAGTCTATAACTGGCATTCACATGGAAGGGCGACACATGTCAAAACAACAAAAGAGAAAAAAAAAAGAATGCTGAGCTAGCAGTCCTGAAGCCTGTAAGCAACATAACGATTGAAATATGGAGTGGTCATTGGTCAGCATGAAATTTTCTTCTCCCAGGACGCTGGAATGCTTCCAAGAGATTATTGGTCAGTGCAGTCACATAACTGTTCTAACCAATGCCAGCATGCCATTGTGAGCATTATACAAGCTCAGTGTCTGCCACTACATTGTATGGTGTGAATCTAAACTTGCCATTTAAATGTGTTAGCTACATTAGTTTTTTTTTTTTTTTTAGGCTTTTTCTCTTTTATTTCTACCTGGCGATCTAGTACAGGTACCATCTACCGAAAAAAACCCCCAAAAACTTGAACCTGATTAGAAACCAATCAGGTTCAAGTTTTTATATATATATATATTTTTTTTTTGGTCAAAGCTTAATTGAACAAGCTGAAGTTAGAAGCGGATTGGCTACCATTTGCAGCTGCACCAGATTTTGCACTCTCCGTTTTTAGTAAATCAACCCCATTGTCTACGAACATAAAAAAATCATCATCATCCTGAATGTCAGTTTCACAATAAAAGACAGACCATTTAGTAAAACAATTTAATAAATGTGTCCATAAATAAACATGATACACTTTAAATCCAACAACATTACTTACATTAAAAAAGTATACATCTGACTCCGTGGGTTAGGAGTGGGATAGACTTGTAATGCATTGGTGTAAATGCATTTACCTGTTCAATCTCCCGTATAATGATTACCCCATTCTTAAGTTTCCAGTGCAAGGGGCATCTCTTTTACTAAAGGAGATTTACAAGTGGTGATTGAAGAGACCCAAGTTCTTCTTTGTACCTGATCTGGCTCTATTTTTTTTTTTTTTTTTTTAACAATCTGTAGCCAGGAAATGGTGGTAAACATGTTTTTGTTTCTGTCCTGTGAACAGTTAAACTAGAAGTTAAACTGGTTACAAGAACAACACCTTACAACAATGGCACTTCTGAAGGCAAGTATGTTACTGTCGGGCCTTAAGTTTTGGACGGGTTGTCCAATGGCACATTAGTGGAGACTGCCTGGTCACTTTGCCCTGCATTACAAGAAGTTTGTTCAACAGGCCACAAATCATCATGCAATGCTGGATCTTTGTGTGCAGAGAGGATGTGTGTCAAACAAATAAACATACATGTTTGCTCAGCATGCACATGTCTCATGTAAAAAAAAAAAAAAAAAAAAAAAAAAAAAAGCGAATTTAAACATGCTTTAGAAGTGGTCACAATGTGGGCTCATTAATAAGGTATCACTGCCTTCAGTAACTGTACATGGAAAGATTGGCAGTTCTTATACCTACCCCCCTCCCCAGAAAAGAACACTGGTATCATACACTGGAAATATAACTTTCAAATAGATGTGTAGAAAAATATTTCTGCATAATGTATGACAAAAGTATTTTTTTTTTTTCACCAACTTTTGGAAGGCTTCCGTGTTCTGTATGGTCCACTTCTAAAGACACACAAAGCTCGGAAGTTGAACAGTTTAAGAGCCAATACAATAAACGTTACCAAGCGCATGCCCTTGGATTTGTAAAAAAAAAAAAAAAAAAAGTCCTTGAAAAGGTCAAACCCTTATTCCAGTGTCAACCTTTAACAGCTGGTGTTTGCGGTGCTGGAGAAACCATTGGATGAAAACGTGATATTACAGAGGTGAACGTCAAACCTCTCTACTTTTAAGGCCAATATTGTCTTTCAGGTGCAGCTTGAAGGAAAGTAATCTGTTTTTCCTATTACATTAACTAATCTTTTGAAGAAGCTTTTCCTCTGTTTGTCCAAACTGTACAATTACTGACATTTCGGCAATGAACTGTTCGCAACTTTCCTTGGTGACTTGCTTGCAGTACCTGAGGTCAATCAGACAGATGTTGCCACAGCGTTTAAAGTAAGTCAGGCACTGGTCTGTAACATTATTGCAGTCTGGAAACAAAGATAAAATTTGTCATTCAAAATAGGCAATAAAGAGTACTTTTTTTTTTTTTAAGCACAAAGTACAAGTAGCATAATCTACATTTTTTAAGCAAATCTTTGGCAATTTGTGGTGTAGCATACCCTTATAAAATAAGACTTGACTGATCTAGCTTTGTTCTTTACAGCGATAGGTGCTTGACACCTCTAGTAGTTTTGTACTTACACTAAAATCCAATTCTTAAAATTTACATTCCACTTCCTTTGTCTCGTTCAATGAGGGATACAGGAATTCTGAGACTGTTGGGGCGGCCAAGAGAAATCCAACTGAGCGGTGGACAACAGCAAATAACACTAACTGGTCCACAGGGAAAAAAAACAAACAAAAACATTGTCCAAAATGCAAAGCAGACACCTTTGGAAAGCAGCACCATCAGTCTTCAGAGAAGGTAGCATTAGATTACCAAGTTAAAATGGACTTGGCTAACAAATTATTATTTATTATTATTATACAGGATTTATATAGCCCCAACAGTTTGCTCAGCGCTTTACAATATAAAACGGGAGACAATACAGTTCAATACAAGAGGGATAGGAGGGCCCTGCTCCTTGGAGCTTACAATCTAGGCTGAACTCCTTTTAGGATACGCAGACCACGATTGGACTACAGCAGTGTTTCTCAACTCCAGTCCTCATGGACCCCCAACAGGTCATGTTTTCAGGATTTCCATTATTTTGCACAGGTGATTTGATCAGTTTCACTGCCTTAGTAATTACCACAGCTGTTTCATCTGAGGGAAATCCTGAAAACATGACCTGTTGGGGCTCCATGAGGACTGGAGTTGAGAAACACTGGACTACAGGTAGGTGGGTGTAGATGGACACAAGTCCATTCACACCCACCAGTCCATAGAGCTGAATGCAGGGTCTGATCAGGTCCGTCTGAAAAGCTGTACGAGAATGACAGGCGCATGGTTTAGCAGTCCATGTATATGTTGTAATAAGTTCCAAAGTGGGCAGGGATAGTCCAGTAGGCACTAAGGGCAAGCTGCGATGGAGCGAAGCAAACTCTGCAGTAGAAGAAACAAAGAAACACAGCGCTTTTAAGTGAATACTGCGATAATATTTAATTAGAAGGTAAGTAACAACTCATATCTTAGAATTTAAAAACAGGCTCATATGATGGAGATGAAAAAGGGCGCGCCAGCGACGCTTGTCCCGTGCATGCTCAGAAACGCATCGCACATTGATAACATCAGACGCCGAAGGTGACCGACCCCGGACATCTTGGATACTGCCAGGCTTCACCACCCATGCTTCACATACATAGCACCATCTGTTGGCGAACCTAGGCTATCTCCTCTCTGGATCAGTCACCTAACATGTGGCTACAGATGTGTTACATCTCCATCATATGAGCCGGTTTTTAAATTCACATGTGAGTTACCTACTTACCTTCTTATTAAATATTGCAGTATACACTTAGAGGCGCTGTGTTTCTTTATTCCGTCTGAAAAGCTGACAGGTGAACCTAATCGAGCCTTTCGTATAAAAGGGGCCTAGAAGGATTTACAGAAATTAATAAAAGCTGAAAGCATTGTAAAACACCTCTGTCAAGGTTAAATGGTTTGTCTCCACCCTCTAATTGCTACTTTTTCTGGGTAACTGTGTTAAAGTACTGGCAGGATGACCAGGTGTAAATAAGTGAAAAATGCATTAAAAAAAAAAACCAAATGTAGCCACAATATCCAGGAACTCATAACCTGTCATTTAAAAAGTGCAGTTCAGGCCTTTTTTTTTTTTTTCTTAAATCACCCATGTGATAGTCGCAGTTTATGCAATCTAAATTGCACCTGCTGCATATGAAAATGTTTGTGGTCTTAGTAAATCATTTTTTACTCACTGTACCCTCTGGATCCAGTAAGATTCCATCCTTACTGTGGGCATCCGAAGCCTGCTCGCTGTTTCTTCTGGGAAATGGTGCAGCTGGTTACCAAACATGCACCTCCTGATCTCGCGCCTGCGCATTGTGAACCAAGCGTGGCACACACCATGTATACCAAGCTGCCATAACGGCCACGTTAGAGGAAGTTCCCGTCCCACTGTTATGGAGACCTGGTTTCCCTATTCAAAAATAGTGCTCATCTCCGTCTGGCAGTGTGTCATTTCGGGTTTGTAAATTCCGCGGTGCTGGAAGCGGAGGATCCCTTTGGACTCCTGGAATCGATGATACTAATAACCCAGAAGCCAATGGGAGGCCGGATATGATGTACCTTGCCGAGGTACGTCAGAAGTAGCTATATTTACTGGCTGAATAAGATAATATGCTTACAAATGCAAACAAAAAAAAACAAACATTGCAAACTTTAATGACATTGGCAAGACCAGGAGCCATAGTTCAAAAAAACTGCAACTCTGCTTTAATACATTTTGGGGGGAGGGGGGGGGGGGGTGAACACTGCTTTAGCTGAAGGCATAAAATCAGGCCTAAATGTCCACCTGCTAGAAGTTAGAACACGTGTGAACAGAAAACCAGATGACAGCCTTACAAAACTGGGAAACAGTAGCTTGATGCTGAAAAGTTCAAGAAGCACCCAATGACCAGTGTGTCTTGACAAGAAAGGGTGGAACCCAATCCTCAAAAGATCATAAGCTTGGATGAAGATCGACCTGAGCCACCTCTGCAGGGACCCACAGGAATGACCAAGAGAGTCAGTCTTTGTAATGAAAGCAGTGGCTGAGACGTGCGTCCACATAGCATGAACTACATTCAGGCACTGGAGGGAAGTTTCTTTCTGATGGAGCTGGACAAAAACAGAAGAATGATGTTCTGGTTGAGATAAAAAACAAATTACCTTAGGTAGGAAATAAGTTCTGGGCATCCAGACCACTTTGTCCCTATTTCCCAAGACAGATATTTATCCCAAGCGATGAGTTGGGTTAAAGTGTGGACGTCTGAAAGTTCATGACATAACCAAACCTTGCAATTTCTGGATGGTGCTGGCCAGAACCTAAGCCAACTATTCCCAGAGCAGGAGATAATCCAGATTTCCCACAATAGGTATACCCAAGGAACACAGCAAGTCTAGCACCGGGGCCAAGCACGTTGGTGAACATGCGATGTACAGAAGTTAAGCTAAACAGCAAGGCCACAAACTGAAATTGTTAGGGACCCACAGGAAAATGAATGAATCGCTGATGCACTAGAAAGATGGGGTCATGCAAATAAGCATCCTTGATGTCCACAAAGACAAGAGAGTTTCCTTGATGGATAGAGGCTATTGCAGACACAGTACATTTCTGGACCCAAATAAAGGCACTTAGGTTCTTGATGTCCTCAATGGGGCAGATGCTCCCCTTTTGGTTTTTGAACTGTGAATAGGTTGGAGTAAGAACCCCTGAAAGCATTCATCCACAGGTACTAGGGAGACAACCCTCTGCTGCAGAAGGTCTGCAAGGACTGCATAATAATTTTCTAATCTGTGCAATCACACATATAGGTTGGAAGACATGAACTGAAGAGGGGCCTGAGAGCAGAATTCTAGCATGTAGCCCCTGGAAACCACCTCCTGGACCCATGCATCTGAAATGCTGGTTGTCCAAAAGTCTGCAAAATCTTAAAAAGTTATCTGAGAGTTTGCAGGACTTGAAATTCCAGAAAATGCAGACAGTCTGGGTAGGTTTGGACTTGATGCTTGGCTTTGGAGCTGAGGCCTGGGAGAAACGAAAGGGACTCTCCTTGACCCCCAACGAGGCATTAGCCTTCCTGGAGCAAACCAAAGGTTTTTTCTGCAAGGGCAGATGTAGTACTTTTGCCTCTGGTGACATTCTTGATAAAAGGAATCCAAGGCAGTTCCAAAATTATGCTGTCCATCGAATAACATGCAAAGCAGGCACTTGTGTTGACTGAAAGGATACCCATATTGGAAATGAAAAAGGTGACCAACAACTTGTCCCAGCAGTGCTAAATACTGTAAAAGGGTTTGAATGGAAACTGGATTCCTTTCAGATTTCCTTAGCCGAGTTAACTAAGGTCTGGAAGACTAGTGTTGCAGCCAGGTCAGGGTCTCTCAAAGAGAACCAATCTTTAGAAAGGGGCTCCAAACATTTGTCAATGAGGTCCAGAAAAATCCTGAAAGTATTTAAAGTGTTACTAAACCCAGGACCCTGCATTCACTATATCTGGTCTCCCACAGTACACACAACATGGAAATGCAATTATTTTAGTAGATATAAACTGCTAAATACCTTTTCTCATCAGCAGTTAGAGAAGTCTTGTGACTTCTATTAGTGTCTAGCAAGGCACTGGTTACAACTTGTATGTTTGCATTCTCATGTAGGAGGATGCAGGACCCCTGACCTCTGTCTTGACAGTGCTTATTGGCCCTGTGCTGGTCACATGCACTCTCTTAAGGAAGGAAGAAAAAAAAAGCAAAAAAAGCTCTCTAGCAATACACACAAAACTGAGCCTCTGCAGCTTGCCCATGAGCCTCTGTTCTATCAAGAGATATTTAGGAGACACTGGAAGAAGGGGGGAGGATCAAAGACAGGATCAAACATCCTTTTTACACAAAATGGAGGATGAACTCCTTAGTTTCCACAGTGAGTATAACAAGCATGCTTTACTGCATATACAGACTGATTTTACTGTTGTGGGTTTAGTAACACTTTAAGACATAACAAAATGGCCATGCAGCCCCCCAAGACTCCATTACAATGGAAATATCACTTTTGGGTGGCCTAAGCCTTTCATTTTCTCTTATCTTAAAAGCACAGGAATATCTTTCTGAAGACAAACACAAATTCAGTTGAAAAGATAAAAAGCTGTCACCTGCCTTTTGATCTCTGGCACTATTTACCTGATAAATTAATTTCTGACAGAGAATCCCTGGTAGATGTACCCACTGCAGTGAGCAGGTTGATGGACTGATCAGTCACATGGTTACAGTAACTCAGGTCCAGTTTGGAAAGAAGAGGCATATGTCGAATCATTAGGCGTAGTGAGGCATCTGTAATGTCCAGTCCTGCTAGACGAAGCTCTGTGATGTTCCTCAATTTGCTACGGTTGTCTATCTGACCTAAAAGGAAGCAAATACAGTGTAGCAAGTCATGTCTTAGTACTATTTAAAAGTGACTATCACGATTAAAAAACAAAAAACAAAAACAGAAATCAAACAAACCCCCCCCAAGGAAAAGGGTAAATACCTACCCATGCCACAAATACTATCCTATCCAACTACCTGTGCTGCAAGGTCTTTGCTCTTTTGGGATACAATTACTGAACAATTTTCAGCTTCCAGCACTTCAGGGAGTACTGGATTCACGGTCATCCGCAGGAGGAACCATGGCATGCAGCAGGGGAAACAGGAATCCAACACTACTTGTATTGTCAGATGCTGTAGGTTTTTCAGCAACTGTAGCAAAAAATAAAGACCTGAAACATGTGCAGTGGAAAATGCTAGTATTCACGCTCTTCTTTGCAGGAAATTGTTTTAGGGCCGGTTCACACCACATGTAGTCAGTCCAGTGCATTTTTTTCTGCATCAAAAATGCATGGCTGGTAGGTTATATGGTTCCCAATGGCATAGTTCACTGCAGTGCGATCAGTTCCAGTTAAGTGAAGAAAGAAAGGGATAAATGCAACAGAATGCATAAAAAATGTGCATACAGAAACGCATCCGAACTACGTTTCTGTGGTGTAATGTAGCCCTCAGTCTTTTAATCATTTCTTGTACACTGTACACACACACATATACGTACGTACATACACACACACACACACACACACACATACACAAACACACAGTCATTAATGTCTAAACCTCTGGCAACAAAAGTGAGTACCCCTAAGTGAAAATGTCCAAATTGGGCCCAAAGTGTCAATATTTTGTGTGTGGCCACCATTATTTTCCAGCACTACCTTAACCCTCTTGGGCATGGAGTTCACTAGAGCTTCACAGGTTGCCACTGGAGTCCTCTTCTACTCCTCTATGACGACATCACGGAGATGGTGGATGTTTGTGCTCCTCCACCTTTCGTTTGAGGATGTTCAACAGGGTTTAGGTCTAGAGACATGCTTGGCCAGACCATCACCTTTACCCTCAGCTTCTTTAGCAAGGCAGTGGTCGTCTTGGAGGTGTGTTTTGGGGTCGTTATGTGGGAATACTGCCCTGCGGCCCAGTCTCCGAAGGGAGGGGATCACGCTCTGCTTCAGTATATCACAGTACATGTTGGCATTCATGGTTCCCTCAGTGAACTGTAGCTTCCCAGAGCCGGCAGCGCTCATGCAGCCCCAGACCATGACACTCCCACCACCATGCTTGACTGTAGGCAAGACACACTTGTCTTTGTACTCCTCACCTGGTTGCTGCCACACACGCTTGACACCATCTGAACCAAATCAGTTTATCTTGGTCTCATCAGACCACAGGACATTATTCCAGTAATCCATTTCCTTAGTCTGCTTGTCTTCAGCAAACTGTTTGCAGCTTTCTTGTGCATCATCTTTAGAAGAGGCTTCCTTCTGGGACGATAGCCATGCAGACCAATTTGATGCAGTGTGCGGTGTATGGTCTGAGCACTGACAGGCTGACCCCCCACCCCTTCAACCTCTGCAGTAATGCTGGCAGCACTCATACGTCTATTTCCCAAAGACAACCTCTGGATATGATGCTGAGCACGCGCACTCAATTCCTTTGGTCGATCATGGCAAGACCTGTTCTGAGTGGAACCTGTCCTGTTAAACTGCTGTATGGTCTTGGCCACCGTGCTGCAGCTCACTTTCAGGGTCTTCGCAATCTTCTTATAGCCTAGGCCAGTGGTGGGCAACCTTTTTTTTCAACTGAGCCAAATCTCGCCAAAACCACGATTGAAATTTATTTTGAGAGCCACATTTTTAAAACTGAAAATACATCCCCCATATAGTAATTCATCCCCCATATAGTAATTCATCCCCCATATAGTAATTCATCCCCCCCATATAGTAATTCATCCCCCATATAGTAATTCATCCCCCATATTGTGTCAATTCACTTACCTTTGCTCCGCGCGTTCCTTTCGCCGTGTTCCCGCGCCGTTCCAGTCTTCAGGGCGGACTGTGAGAGGAGAGTAGTTGCCCCGCCTACATCCTGACAGCCAATGTTTGCCACGCTCCACGGGCCGGATTAAAATGTCCGCCGGGCCGTAGTTTGCCCATTGCTGGGCTAGCTGCAGAGTCCTGACTTTTGGGGCAGCCGCCCGAGAGGAGGGAGGGGAGCGGGCGCCCGGAACACAGAAGAGCCGCATTAAAGTGTGCAAAGAGCCGCATGTGGCTCGCGAGCCGCGGCTTGCCGACCACTGGCCTAGGCCATCTTTATGTAGAGCAGCGGTTCTCAACCTGGGGGTCGCGCGACCCTTTTGGGGTCGAACGACCATTTCACAGGGGTCGCCTAAGACCATCAGAAAACACATATTTCCGATGGTCTTAGGAACCGAGACACCGCTCCTCTGTCTCAGGCGATTGTGTGGGCGGGTGATGATATGCTGCCCCTGTCACCTCGCCACACCTCCGGGATCACTCAACAGCTCCGCCTCATTCAACCGCTGATTGTGGCCACCGGAAACTGTAGCTCAGGAGAGGCACACAGGCGGCCAATCACCGGCGGAGGAGGTTGGAGTTGGATGAGGAGGAGCTCGAGAGGCAGCGCTGCGTTGATCAAAGAAGCCGTCAAGATCGAGGGAGCTGAGGAGCGAGTGAGAAGTGAGAGGCACAGAAAACAAGACAGCTGACAGGTAAGTGCAAAATTTTGCTGCTGCAGCCAGGGTTTGCAGGGTGTAGTTGGGAGAGGGATGGAGAGCGAGCACAGGATGGAGCAGGGGGTCAGCAAGGTAAGTATCATTGTGTCAGTGGGAGGGATAGTGCCCCATCATTTGTGTCACTAATACAACGATTGGGGCACTATTCCTCACCCAACTGACACAAACGATGGGGAACTATTCACCTCCCCCACTCTGACACCAATGATGGGGCATATTCCCACTGACACTCCAATGATGGGCATATTCCTCCCACTGACACCATGATTGGTGCACTATTCCTCCACTGACACCAATGATGAGGGCACTATTCCTCCCAACTGACACCCCATGATGAGGGACATTTCCCAATGACCCCACGATGGGGCACAACTGTACACAATGGAGGGGGCAATATTCTCCTCCCCCACTGCCACCAAAAGATCGGGGCACTTTTCCTTCCAATTACACCCACGATGGGGCACTATTCCTCCCACATGACACAATGACGATGGGGCACTATTTCCTCCCCACTGACACCAACTGATGGGGCACTATTCCCCCCACTACTCCCCCTGACATGGAGCACTATTTCCTCCCCCCCACCCCACCGACACCAACGATGGGGCACTATTCCCCCTCCCCACTATTGACACCACAATGATGGGGACTATTCCCCCCACTGACACCCTATGACATTCCTCCCACTGACAAATGATGTGTCACTATTCCTCCAACTGACCCCAATGATGGTTTGAGCACTATTCCTCCCAACTGACACCCAATGATGGGGCACTATTCCCCCTCTCCACCACACTGGGGCCACACCAATGACAACCACGATGGGGCACTATTCCTCCCACTGACACAATGATTGGGGCACTATTCCTCCCACTGACACCAATGATGGGGCACTATTTATTCCTCCCACTGACACCAATGATGGGGCACTATTCCTCCCACCCCAATGACACCAATGATGGGGCACTATTCCTCCCACTGACACCAATGATTGGGCACTATATTCCTGCCACTGACACCAATGGAGTGGGCACTATTCCTCCCACTGACACAAATGATGAGGGCACTATTCCTCCCACTGACACAAATCCTCCCAATGACACCCACAATGGGGCACTATATCCTCCCACTGACACCAATGATGGGGCACTATTCCTCCCACTGACACAATGATGGGGCACTATTCCTCCCAATGACACCCACGATGGGGCACTATTCCTCCCAATGACACCCACGATGGGGCACAATTCCTCCCAATGACACCCACGGTCACAATGGGGCAACTATTCCTCCCAATGACACCCACGATGGGGGCACTATTCCTCCCACTGACACCAATGATGGGGCACTATTCCCCCCACTGACACCAATGATGGGCACTATTCCTCCCACTGACACCAAATGATGGGGCACTATTCCTCCCACTGACACCAATGATGGGGCACTATTCCTCCCACTGAGACACCAATGATGGGGCACTATTCCTCCCACTGACACCAATGATGAGGCACTATTCCTCCCAATGACACCCACAATGGGGCACTATTCCTCCCACTGACACCAATGATGGGCACTATTCCTCCCACTGACACCAATGATGGGGCACTATTCCACCCAATGGGGCACACCCACGATGGGGCACTATTCCTGACACCAATGATGAGGGCCAATGACACCCACGATGGGGCACTATTTCCTCCCCAATGGGGCACATTCCCACGATGGGGCACTATTCCTCCCACTGACACACCCACGATTGGGCCCACTATCCTCCCACTGACACCAATGAAGGATGGGGCACTATTCCCCCACTGACACCAATGATGGAGCACTATTCCTCCCACTGACACCAATGATGGGGCACTATTCCCCCACTGACACCAATGATGGGGCACTATTCCTCCCACTGATACCAATGAGGGGCACTATTCCTCCCACTGATACCAATGATGGGGCACTATTCCTCCCACTGATACCAATGATGGGGCACTATTCCTCCCACTGATACCAATGATGGGGCACTATTCCTCCCACTGACACCATGATGGGGCACTATTCCTTCCACTGATACCAACGATGGGACACTATTCATCCCACTGACATCAGTGATGGGGCGCTAGTCCTCCAACTGACATCAGTGAATGATGGGGCGCTAGTCCTCCCACTGCGAAATTACAGTTATGAAGTAGCAACGAAAATAATTTTTATGGTTGGGGGTCCACCACAACATGAGGAACTGTATTAAGGGGTTAGCGGCATTAGAAAGGTTGAGAACCACTGATGTAGAGAACAATTCTTTTTTTCAGATCCTCAGAGTTGTTTGCCATGAGGTTGCCATGTTGAACTTCCATAGTGACCAGTATGAGAGAGTGAAAGCTATAACACCAAATTTAACACACCTGCTCCCCATCAACACCTGAGACCTTGTAACACTAAAGAGTCACATGACACCTGGGAGGGAAAATGGCTAATTGGGCCCAATTTGGACATTTTCACTTAGGGTGTACTCACTTTTATTTCCAGCGGGTTTAAACAATTAATGGCTGTGTGTTGAGTTATTTTGAGGGGACAGCAAATTTACACTGTTATACAAGCTGTACACTCACTGGTTATCTCTATCTATATCTATCACACACAAATCTTGAGTAGATAAGATCTTACTGGCTACTTGAATTACTTTTTATATTTTTATAATTAATTCTACACCATTAAATAAACATATATGCCAATGTCCTTTTAAATGAAGTAGTAGAATACCTGGCCTGTTGTCTGTTGGAGGAGACAAGAGATCCCTCATTTGTGCATCTTTCAGCCCTTCTACCCATTGGACATTAAGCGACCTCAGCAATGGACAGCTGGAACTACAAAGTGCAGATACGGCAATCCAAGAAACAGCCCGATAAATTCAGATCCCTTAGAGCTGAGAAGATGAGGAAAAATAAAAATGGTCAAGTCTCATTAAAGAAGAATAACAAACATTCCAAAAGCTACAACAGCACAAATTCTACACAATGCACACCACAATGGTCTGTCAACACAAACATATTTCAAAAGACCCCTGAACTAAGCAAACAAACTCTCTGTAGTTTCTAATGGCAGATCTGTTTAGATCCCTGTATGTACCAATAAACAATTTTATCTTTGTTTTGCAAACTGGGGGCCTATCAATACACAAATCAAATGTGCGTGCTCTCTGTGCTTGCCAAGCCTTTGGCCTTGTATTGAAGCCCATCAACATCTGTTTTTTAGCAAATGCACTTTTATTCTAAAAACAGGTGTGAAATCAGCATGATCAGCAGTATGGTAGGAAGATTTCACTAATATTGTCACAGAGACAACAAACCAGAGTATAATAATGGAAATATCACTTTTAGGCCTACTCATCCATTTAGCATTTTCTGACACATTCTTGTCCCTCTTCACATGGTCATTAGACCATTCATTTCAATAACAATCTTACCAAAGATTATTTGTGCATTTAACATATCTTAGGTTGGTTTTTAACTTATAGATGTCTATACAATGGAGGCTTTTACAAGTCTGGAGACTGTTGATGGAATTTAGATATGAGGTCAGTAGACTCATGCTGTCACTCAAGTGCAGTCTATATAAGCCTCTCCCAACCTTTTCAACACAGAGGAACCCTTGAAATCATTTCTGATCTCAGGGAACCCCTACTAAAAATAACTATCTACAACTCATCGTACATTATTGTGATGGTCAGTGGGAAGAAAGCTCCTTACACTTGTGGTCATTGGTAAGAATTACCCCCTTACAAATAACTAAAGAGATCAATGCTGTCTGGGGGAACTTATCTGACCAGCAAAAAGTGCTCATTGCTCTAACAACCTTTTGAGGAACCCTATGTTTCATTGAACCCTGGTTGAGGAACCCTGCTCTTCTCTGGGCAGTCAAAGAGAGTAATTAGATAATCCCAAGAAGAATATGAAATGGATAGAATGGGGCTATGCTAGGAAATTGATTTTCTGAACTGTCAATCCCTACCAAGTTCAAAAGCACATTGCAACGGTTTCCTTTTGCAAAAATAATTGTCGTTGACTTGCAAAGAAGCATTTAAAATACTTTATTTTTCTGTGCTGTTAACTGCAGTTTTTTGTTAGTGACAGGGTCTCTGATTGTATAATATGGTGGCTTTTCGATTATGAACACATACTGTAGTTTGTACATAAATAGTCAATACTGTATGTAGCCCTAAAAAAAACAAAAATAAAACACAAAAAACATAAACGCAGTTCACAGACGAGAACAGGGTACTGCTAACCCCAGAAATAAAGAAGTCTTGGAAGACCACGGTATATATTTCTTAAACTAGTAAAGGTTAGAATGTCTTGCCAGGTTGTTACTAAGACATTAATGAAGGTTGTTAGGATTCGAACACTCTACTGGGAAATAAATGAAAAAAAGCAAAAAACACACACTTCTTCCCCTTCCTGTTTGGTGACAACATTGACACTGGACAGTGAGGGGAATCTCTTTAAATGGCACAAACTGCAATGAAAATCTTCTGGAGCCCCCATCGATGAAAAGAAATATTAAGAAGAAAAAATACTTTCCATTTTATGCAAGTTCTAAACTATTTAGGTAAGGTTTAGTCACACAAGCTGCCAAGTACATTTTGTAAGATTGGCTTACACCTAGTCCGCGTTAATTTACCCATTACTTCTTTACATTACGGTGTTACACACTACATTCTTTTTGAGTCTGTTGATTTTTGTGACTGAAGTGCATTCTAAAGATTACTGTATTGCCTTCTTGTGGTCTGTACCTGAAAGGCACTATAATCTTCTCTCTTTTTTACTTCTTTGTGAATACAACATACATGAGCACGGGTGTCAAACTGGTGGCCCTCCAGCTGTTGCCAAACTACAAGTCCCATGAGGCATTGTAAGATTGACAGTTACAGGCATAACTCCCAAAGGTAAAGGCATGATGGGACTTGTAGTTTGGCAACAGCTGGAGGGCTGCCAGTTTGACACCCCTGTACTTGAGTAAAGAAAAGTTTAGTCGCAGAGATTTGGTCTCAAGAGACTGGCAATGTAGTACCTGGAAGCCGATTCATGAGCCAGCTTAGCTGTTTCTTTGATATATTGGTCCAGCTTAAATCTAAGGATACAGGCTGTCTCCTGATGATCCCACTGAGCATAAGAGGCGTTATAGATTTGCAGTGGTTTAAATCAATTCGCGTCCACAATCTTTTATCACAACACCTGCAAGAGAGAAATCCAGTTAGTAGTTTCCGGACTATCACACAATAATCACCGTGCCTATTGTTTACTATGAGTATATTACAGAGTGACCATGAGGGTCTGTCAAATGACAGACGACAACAGCATAAATTCCAGGTTCTTATATTGGTTTGTGTTTCACGTATTAGGCTCCATGCACACGTGTGTGAGTGTGTGTGAGTGTGTGTGTGTCCATGCACATGCTTTACGCAACCCTGTGGTGTATAATTGTGTACAGTCGCATCATATAATTAATGTCAATGGACAGCTGTACTTGGCAGCTGCTGGTCCTGGGAGAGTGATTAAGCAGGCTTGGCCCACTGTACGGCCCCGGTATAGCCATGTGCATGAAGCCTTACAGTAGAAAACAACCAACACATTATATTCTAGTAACACAGCTCTAGATCTTTGGAGAAAAAGTAGAAATGTTTTATTATATTTTCCATTTATTTTCCTCAAAACCAAGCACACAGCTATAGGGATAGCATCCTATACAACAGCTCTGAAATTCAGCACACAAAAGATAAAAACATCCTCCTAGTCATTTTTTAAAACCCAATGAACTGATGTGCAGTTTATGTGGTTGCATATTGCTGTGGAAGAATGCTGTATTATGGGTTACTGTGTTTAAACCAAGCAAAATAAAAGGAACTGCACGGGAACTGATCAACAATCACCTGTTCTACAAAAAGTTACCCATAATTCTTTTTATTGTGCCAAATGTTTATCTTTTTAGTATGCCTTGTCCAAAATATCAAAGCTGAACTCCAGACAAGCAGCTAAATACACAAAAGTAATGCATATGCCAAAGAACTTGAAATTTATTTTCATTCTCTTTGACACAGGTACTCTTGTCCCATGACACAGCCAGATTATTCGTCTCATCACGCTCAAGAACAATTCCCAGCTTTTTACTGGACAATGAAATAACAGCAAAGCATTGAAGAGTCATCATTCTACTCATTCTGTTTGGCTACTTGTGCCCCACCAGTCTAAATGCTACTGTAAAGAGGATTATGAGAGAAAATATTAAGCAAAATGCAATCACTTACACTAGTTGCATTTAAAAAGACTTTTAAATGCTGAATTACACACAGACAAATATCTATATTAGAGATTTTCCAACCTGCCAAAAGATTTGTACTTCTGTCAATCCAGTCCCATGATTTATACAGCTCTGCCACACAGTACAGTCCTGCTTGGCAGGGTAGGGAACCTGATCTTTCTCTGCTGAAGTTTCACCAACAGGTCACCTCTCTACTCCCATCCTTTGATTGGACAGTGGAAAGAAAAGCAACACACTGATGCCACTTTGCTCTCTCCTGTTGTCAGTATGCTACTTGCAATACCAAACACATGACTGGTGGCATTTTGCTTATCCTTTCCAAGCTCTACTGTACAGACACAGAAAGACCGATATCAGTCAAATTAAGGAACTTACAATGCTTTCACTTAAAAAAAAATACATTAAAGAAAATGTAAACCCAAGAGTTTATATTCCTGATATGTACCTGCTGTACCATGTACTTGTATGAAAACAAAAATATGCCATTCTTTTTGTATTGCTTCCTTTGTGCGAAATCCCTGGTGTTCCTGCCAGTCCCCTTGCTTTCCTCTTAAAAAATGACTAAAATCACTGAATCTTTATCATTCTACCCAGGCATAAGATATTTGAGCAGTTTGCTATGCTGTTTGAACTATGCGGTGTCCACTGTCTAATCTCTTTTGTCGTCTCAAATGTTTATTGGAAGATTTCCCTGCTACAGAACATGTAATATCTACTGTGCAGTATGTAGTGTCACTGTACCATGTTTTTTACATGCTGTTAATAACAATAAAGTTGTTTCAATGTTAAAAAAAAAAATAAATAAAGTAAACAGACTACACTAGGTATGACAGCACAGAGTGGTCAGTTTTCTAGGAGCTAATCCAATGATCAGACTTGTGCTGAAACTCCCCCCTTGCACATCTTCACTGGGAAAATCAGTGTGCAGCAGAGGGTATGTGATCATTTATAAAAAAAAAAAAAAAAAAAAAAAAGAGGGGAGGTATTTGTTTATTTTTTTTTATGTCTAAACACAATGTTTGCCTTTCATTTTTAAACTGAATGGGTTGTTTTACACTTTAAATGAATACATTTGTGTCACTTCTATCTACCTAGAGTTCAGCTTTAATACATTTTAATCACTTTCAATCACTGAATTAATTGATGCTTTTATATATTTCTGCAGTTCAGCTTCAACCAAAAATGCCCCCACTCCCCACCCTATCAGAACGGCATATTGTATGGCCAGCTACAGAGTAAGCCTGAGTTTTCTTGCCGCATTGGTCCTCAGGAAGAAGCTGAATGCTGTGGAACACACTGTCAAAAATACCGCATTGCTGTTTTAATACTTGAGCAATAAATTAGCTTAATTGCACTATCTTGATCTGACTCCACCATCAAATAACGTCTTCTGGCTATTCGATCGAGTGGCTAAAAACTACCAGAACAGGGATTTTTCTGTTACGCCAATCACACAAATCAAGCAGCACAAATCTTCTGTTAAAGTGTATGTAACCCAATCACTAACATTACATTTAGGTCTCCTGCACACTGGGCATTTCTAATGCTGCTCTTACCCCAGGTTCACACCCAAGGGTTTTCAGCAGCGTTTTGCAGAAACGCAGCACAGTCCATTTAACATGATTTTCTATGGGACATGTTGACATCTCCACGTTTTCACCCGGTGCGGTTTTTGGAAAGGGTCAGGGACTTTTTTAAAAATGCAAAAAAGTTGCGGTTTTGGTTCTATAGACTTCAATGAAAATGCTGCAGAAAAACATTGTGCATTTTTTATTGCGTTTTAGATGCATTTTAAATCTGCCTAGCAACAATTTGAAAAAAAAAAACACATCAAAAATGAGACTAAAACACACAGAAACGGATCAAACGCAAACTGCATAGGTGAGAACGTAGCCTCAACGTTTTTTTTTAAATATCTGTAAATACCCCTGCACATTAGACTATGTGTCCATGCATACATAGGTATTTACAGGAGTTTAGAAGCAGAAAAAAACCAACTGCCAGAGTGTCCAAGAGCAGCGCATTTTTGGCAGGCAAAAAAACAGCTTGATGCCTGTATACCTATATTAACGCTAAGTGCATTCAGCGCTTGAGTGTTAATTCATTTCAATTGCCATAAATAAAGTATTATCCTTAACACTTGATGATTCTGCCATGAAGGTCCTTATCAGGTTGTTCCTGCTTTAGGATGACAATGGTCTGTCCCTGTCCCCCAAATATGCTCCTGTGCTGCAACCCTGTCACTTAGGTTTCTGACGGAGACAGACAAGTGGCCATTTCAGCACATTATACAGGCATGGTCAACTACTCACACCATCAGGGAACCTGGTGTCACCACTGGCATGCATGCATGCAAACAGGAAATGACTACAAAAAGGAAGCAGGAGAGCAGCAGCTATGAGTTGCAACAAAAGATGAAAAAAAAAAAAAAAAGGTAAAAAAAAGTTAGAAACAATTGCGTTTTTGGCTTTATGATACACTGCCTTACAAACTAAATATTATTCAGAGTAGATAGCATGTTCTTTTTTTTGCTACATGGTTCAGTGTTTGAAAGCAAGTCCTTAAGAGCTTTCATAGAGACGCTTTTATAAAGGAGATGAGCAATGCCTGTGGAGTGCCATTTTCTGCTGTCACTCTATCACAGGGGTCTCCAAACTTTCCAAAGGGCCAGTTTACGGTCCTTTAGATTTTTTGGGGGCGGATTATGGCCAGCGAGGGTGGAAAGTCTCAAGGCCAACATCAGTGAGAGTAAACAAGGTCTCAGGTGTGGTGGTCAGTTGCATAGTGCCTGTGGTCAGTAGGAAGAGGAGTAGTGCCCCATCGCTGCCATCACTGGAAGGAATGTTGGCACATCTTGATGTTAGTGGATGGAAAAAGTCCCCATCATTGACATTAGTGGGAAGAATAGTGTACCATTGGTGGTGTCAGTTGGGGGAATTATACCCCACTTTTGATGTCAGTGCTAGGAATAGTACCCCAAGGGCCAGATAAAGGCTAGCAAAGGGCCGCATCCGGCCCTCGGGCCACAGTTTGGAGACCACTGTTCTATCTGTACACTGCCCACTGCCCCCTCTTCACTTCTCAAACATTAGTTGTTTCACCATTGTTGTGCACCCCTTCCCCCATTTCCCTTATAACACCGATAGCAGAATCTACAGATTCTAGCTTTCTGGTTTGAAATATTCTGGATATCTGGTTCCTTTCAAACGGATACATTTTAAAATACGACAGCTCCTTTTTTCAGTAGGATAAAAAGAATGGATGGAGCATTCGAGGTCCTGTCTATTATACATCATCCACTCTACTGATCGCTGTTCTTTCACAATATCAGCAACACTTCCTGCATTACGTTCATTTCTTGGTAATGTATGCTCTGCACAAGGCACATCATGCACAGAAGCTTTACATCATTATCAAAAAGCCAGGTTTATTTATAGAGAAATCTCTAAAAATAGCCACGCAGAATCGGCGAGGATCAGGCTTTAAGTGCTGATATGCCTGTATTTACCCAAGACTCCACGGTCAGCTTCTTTCTGGTACACCTTGCACTGTGTAGCATCATGAATCAGTATTTAGGAAATGTGAGACAGAGGTAAAACAGCTGGAAATATAGATTTTAGATTATAAGTTCCCACAAGTAGGGCCCTCCTAACCCCCTTGTACTGTACCGTCCCCTTTGTTTTGTAAAGTGCTGCGCAAACAGTTGGCGCTATGAAAATCCTGTATAAAAATGTAATGCATATATTTAAAGCTGAACCTCAGGCAAACTGCTAAACAGACAGATACAATAAATAAAAGGGATTTTCTTTATGTGCAGAGTATATATACTTCTGTCCTGACATTTACACAGCTAGGCCAGGTGGATGACACCACAAAGTTAACTTGCCCTTCAGAGGATTTACCCCCCTTCCTGACCAGGACATTTTTTGCAATACAGTGCTGCTTTACTTTAACTGCCAATTGCGCGGTCATGCAACACTGCACTCAAATGAACTGTATGTCCTTTATTTCCCCCACAAATGGAGCTTTCTTTCGGAGGTATTTGATCGCCTCTGCGGGCTTTATTTTTTTACGCTATAAAAAAAAAAAAGATTGACAATTTAGAGAAAAAAAAAAATTTTTTTACTTCTTGCTATTAAACATATCCAGTAAAAAAAAAATTTTAAATCAAATTTCATCATACATTTTAGGCAAAATAGTATTCTGCTACATGCCTTTGCTAAAAAAAAAAAAAAAAAATCCTAATACATATAAATTAAAAGTTATAGAGTCTACAAATGGCGGTATAGATACTAGAATTTTTAATTTATTTTTTTTTTTAATACTAGTAATGGCGGCGATCAGCGACTTATAGCAGGACTACATGACTGTGGCGGACATTCTGACACTGGGGGGAAGCTGTCATTGACATCCATAGTGACACCAATAAAAAGCACTGGCACCGTACTAATGACACTGGGCAGGAAGGGGTTAACATCTGGGGCGATCAAAGGGTTAACTGTGTGCTGTTTTACTGTGTAAGCAAGGTGCTTTGTATTGCTCTGCTATGCAGAGCAATACAAAGCAGCGTGATGGAGCTAACAGGGGGAGATATCTGTATAGTTTACATACAGACCTTTCCCCCGTTAGTGTTCCTCGGCGATTGCCAGGTGCTTGCGACAGCTGCTCGGCAAAGGTAAATCATGTGCGCCCCCTATCTGGAAATACAAAATCGCGCTTATATATGTGAGTTTGCACTGCCCTTCTGCTGTAGCTTACTGTAGCAGTAGTTCTGCTATAGGGTGGTCGGGAAGCGGTTAAAGAATATGTAAACCCAACATTTCATATTCCTGATGTGTGCCTGCTGCACTGTGTAATTGTATGAAAAAGTATCCTGGGTTTTTTTGTATTGCTTCCTTTGTGTGCAATCCCTGGTGTTCCTGCCAGTCCCTCTTCTTTCCTATTAAAAACTGAACACACTAGGCAGGAGAGCAGTCAGTTTTCTAGGTGCTCTCCTTCAATGATCAGACTTGTCATGACACCCCCCCATCCCATCCATTCCCTGCACAGCCATTCACTAGGAAGATCAGTGTGCTCCAGTTTCTCTTCCCTGAGCTCCTTATGGAGCCGAGAACAGAGGGAATGTGATCCCTTAGAAAAAAAAAAAAAAAAAAAAAAAAAAAAAAGAGGAAAAAGGTATTTCGTTTTTTCTATTTTAACCTGAATGGGTTGTTTTACAAGGGGAGGTTTACATATACTTTTTAAAAACAGCACAGTTTTAAGCTACATGAACACAGGCAACTAGCCCTGGGGTAAATGAGAGCAGCAGGAATCTGCAGATTACTGTAGCTATTTTTGCCACCTGTGAGCATCTAGCTACGGCCAACAGAGCCCTGTGCACCGTTGATTGGCCGTGGCCACAGCCATCCGTGACCGTCCGCACAGCCATTAATTACCTGCAGTGATTGCTGCTGGATGCACTTTGTGGTAGTGGATGAAACCTTTGTAGTCCAAACCAGCTGATGACCTCTGCTATTTGACACTTGAATGTGTGGGATCTTATGTCCTCGCTGACACATGGCTTCTCCCACCAGACGCTCTGACACACCCAGTACTGCAAGATAGCAGTGGTGTCTAGAGCTGTCCAATACAGAGAAGATTTCACTTTCTGCCCATGGAAGGTCAAGTATGCAACATGTTATTTTACAGGGTGTGCAGGTTTACATTTCTGATACTGCCAAAAGGGTCAAATTAAATGAATTCATTGCTGTCTTTTCTCCATCTCCAGACTGTTGGCTGAACAGTAAAAGAGCAGCAGCAGGTTAATGAGGTGATCCTTCCACTCTCTATCAAAATAATCCTTGTTAACACACTTGAATGCAGCACACCTGATTGGCTCCCTCCCTCTCCCAGTCTGAGTGTTGCTGTAAAGGGAATTGCAAGAGGCTGATACCAAGTGAATGTAGGTACATACACTAGCTGTATTAAAAAGAATAACTAAAATGAACTGTTTACTGATAAATACATAGTTGTTGCAATAATTTGTATCTTTTATACCTACCTGAAGTTCAGCTTTAAATGTATTTTATTTAGGTTTATTTCAACGAGGAGCTTAAAAGTTCAGAACTATGGCTGGCTTCAAATCTAAGCTTTTACATGTATGAAAGTCACTGAATAAAACCGCAAACACTGGCTTACCATCTATTCCACGTTTTGCAGACTCTCATACAGATGCACAGATCTTTGTGGCTGAGGTAGCTAAAGATGGCCATCCAGACTTCTCTCTGCATCACATGGGTTGCACCGTTCTCCAGCGGTAGAGAGTCTGGAGGAGGGCTGATGGGAGGAGGCCTTATTACATGGCGTTCCATCTGCACACATTTGGGAGGTGACAAAGATGGAGGAGGGCGATTGGTGACCCTTGGCGTTGTCCTTGGGCTTGGAAGAGACTGGTGTTTAAACTCCTTTGGGGTCCCATTCAGTTCTTTGCTGAATCGATGCATGCGCTCCCCATTGGTGTTCATACATTTCTTGGACTCCTCGTCCTCGCTTTCTGGTTCAGATTTAATAGGATGGTGGTTCTCATTGGCCAGGCTATTTTCTGTTTTCTGGATCTCTTGATTTAGCTCCTTGCTTAATTCTTTGCTTAGTTCCTTATTAGAGACTTTTCTTTTCCTTCTGTTTTTCTTCTTTTCCTTTGACTCTGGACCCTCTGTGCTGGGACCAGCAGTGGGTGAACTCGACCTGGATTGGTCACTCTCCTTCGATTTGGGGACAGACTCTCCCATATCGTCATCTGGCTCCTGTTTAATGCGTCTTAAAGTTTTGGCCATCAGTGCTCGTTCTTCCGGTGTCTTCCAGGTTCTCTTCTGAAACCACAGGAAGAATTTCATAGTAAAGATAAATACATACATACATAGACCAAAAAGACTGAATGGGATAATTTAAAGCACTGCACACAGAAAATTGTTGAAAATAATGCCTAGCAACTTAAAGCTGTACTACATCTTAAAACAGCTTTAAAAAATGTTACAACATTCCATATTCCTGATAGGTGTATGTTGTACCATGTACTTGTGTTAAAAAAGTATCCTATTGTCAGTTTTCTGACCAAGCTATTCACTGGGAAGATCAATGTAATGTTGTTTCTCCACCTGTATCTCTCTAACCACTTATGCAGCTGAGGACAGAGATTGTGATCATTTATAATTTACACACACACACACACAACACACACACACACACACACACACACACACACACACACACACACACACACACACACACAAATGTTTTGCCTTACATTTCTATTTTAAACCAAATTAGTTGTTTTACAAGGCAAGGGTTCACCTATAGTTTAACCAAGAAAATCCCTCCTAGGAAATGAAAAGCTACAATCTCAATGCACCTGTAGCATTTGGATTGGTTTAAAGATTGCAGTCCACTCACCACTGTAAAAATGATAGGATAAAATGTCCCACTGATATTTTCCAAGGGAAAGGCAAGAATCCCTTTGCCTTCATCTTATTACACAGAGCACAAAGAAATGATATGGGAGGGAATCATATGCCTTGAAAATCCCTATGAATAAAAGTTGATATGTAAAGCTACCCAGTTAAAAAGAATCTGCTTCCCACAATGTATCACCATGAAAATGATACCTGTGCTAATAGGAATATGTAAAGTGCTTCTGCTAACCTGTCTGAAAATGCTAACTGCTTGGCTGTCATACTGACCATCAATACTTCCTAAGCCACTGACCCGGAGGAGGTACGCAGATCAGGATTTCTCCTTTTGCTGGGACGTCAATGGCAGCACATCAGTTTCTGCATCAGCCCCTCAGAAGGTATTAAAGACCAAAACAGGCAGCAGTGTGCATTTTCAGGTTTTCAGTTTGATAAAATGCATATAAAAACCATTTTCCACAAGTCAAAAGAAAGAAAAGGTACTCATAATACATCATGATGTAGGTTTTTTTTCAAGGTCTTTATCTAAGCATCAGTCAGAAATATTCCACATGCCATCAAAATGCTCCTTTTTGCGATCACACATCATGAAGTAGGTCCAGCAACACATTCATTGCTCAGGTGAAGATCACAGTTCCCCTGCCTTTACCACTAAATTATTCCAAATCTTTGTGCCTACACTGCCCTTTAAAGACCCAAGGATTTGGAGGTTTGGAAAAGTATAGAAAAAAAAAAAAAAAAAAATAGAGAAGAACAGATGATCCATTTCAACATTTTTCTTAGGGTACTGAGAATTTCCATGTCCAAGTGTAAGTGAACCAGGCAGTTGAGGTTACTCAAAATATTGTCAGAAAGATTTTAGGATTATTGCAAAATACTTCAAGTACAAGTCAAGTCATGAAATGTTTGAAATTATCAAAATGACCAATAATCAGTATTAACTGGCAAAAATCAAGCCAGACAGTTCAAAATCGAAACATATGACAAGCCTAGCGACTGAAATGTGGCCTCCAAAAATGTTCCAATGTCACAGGATAGTCCCGAGATTCTAACTTAATATCAGGCCAATTAAAGACAAACCTAAAATGTCTCTACTGGGGCTTACATTAAGGCAGAAGGCCATCTGGGATTTAAGAACTTATAAGTACAGAATTAGAGAACTCAAGCCGGATATAGTTATGCAGAGACTCATTATCCATCTGGATGTTGTATGTATATATCTCCAGGCATTCTGTGCAGAAAGCTTACTAGTATATACACATTGCTGAAAAAAAACTAAACCATATTGCGTGTCCTGAAGAGACAGAGCCAGAATGAATATTCAATGAGAGCATTTCTTGAGAATAGCATTTGAAGGACATGCAGTTATACACTTACAACATCAATAAAACATCCCTCCATGCAATGTTACAAGGTACTGAGTCAGAAGACAGCATTATGTGTTTCTGTGTTTGCTGAACCTTTAATAAATAAGTCTGCACAATTATACTAATTGTATTGTAATAGTTAAAAAAAAAATAAAGGGAGATTGTCCATAGTATCAAGATTACAGCACTGTTCATCTACAGCAAGGTTATTAAAGTGGCGCTCAACCAACTATCCTCCAAGGTCAGTGCCATCTTAGCCTCCATTTAGATCTTCAATTGCCCCAAGGTGCCATGCATGTCATCAGGTTATGACACCGTCCATTTGAGGGCTTGAAAGGTCAGATGAGAGCTAACATAAGCACACCGACAACTGTGACAATTATCACCAGAGGCGTGCCTCGAGTGTAACATACAATGCACATTTGCTAGTAGGCATAATGTACTTGAACACACTGCATAACCCTAGCTTCACACCTAAGCGTTTTCTGCAGCGTTTGGCAGAGACGCACTACAGTCCATTTAACATGACTTCCTATCTCCGCGTTGTCACCCGATGTGTTTTTGGAAAGGGTCAGGGACTTTTTTTTAAAATACAAAAGTTTTTGGTTCTATAGACTTCAATAGAAACGCTGCAGAAAAGCCTGTAGTGCGTTTTTGCTGCGTTCTGCATTTTAAATCTGCCTAGTAACAAAAAAAAAAAAAAAACCTGCAAAACGCGTTAAAAACGCAAAGCAGAAACGGATCAAAAACGCAAACTGCATAGGTGTGAATCTAGCCTAAAACATTAACAAGAGGATTTAATAACATTTATTGTACATTTCTAATGTGAGCTTTTTTGGGGGGGGAAGTAGTGACATTAGTGGGTTTACTTCCACTTTAAAGTCCAAAGGGGGGGGGACGACTGTCACTTGCAGTGTGTTTTATCCAGGGGAGAGGAGAAAGCCTTAGGCTCCCTTCACACTTGGGCATTTCAAATCACGAGTGGAGTCGGCTTAATATTGCCCAGGAATTGACAATGTGTTGTGAAAACATGCATTTGCCGTTCATTTCCATGGCACATAAAAACGCAGGAAGTTTTTGCCTGGATCGCGGCACGTTTTGAAATGCCCAAGTGAAAATGGAGCCTATATACTGTATGGAGCTTGCTATGGTCTTGGTGATGTCAGGACTCAAGGTCACTAGAGCAGAGGGGTGTAAGAGCTGCAGGAACAAGTCAGGTTTCGGGAGGATCTGGTAAGTAGATCTACTTTCATCTTTCCCCAGCCAAAAATGAGCAATTAACCCATACAGCCCCACTACATGGGAAAACTTGTTTTAACCCAGAGTTCAGCTTTAAATCAAACACTGGCCATGTTTTTGCTTTTCCTTTCATCTAGGTTTTGTAGGAAATAAAAAAAAAAAAAAGGAGGGACTATTTTAGGATTATGTGATAAAAATAGACACATATATGAAGCAGCAAATAGAGTGTGCTGTAAAGCCCAGCTGCTGCACATATGTGTCTGTATCAGTCTGAGGTATTGTGCAGACATCGCACTCAGCACACTGATCAAGCGGTCATTATTCAAATAAGCGCCCCTTCACATGGGCTGATCAGGTCCACTTGTCAATTTTTCAGATAGACCAGATCAGAAGCTCTATGCCACTCTATGGACAGGTGAATGTTTACACCCATCTACCTCCAAATCTGTCAGGGCCTGGAAAAAAAAAAAAAAAAAGGGGGGGGGGGGGGGCACTGCACTGTGTGAAAGAACCCTTAGTCAATGCTGCACAGTTGGTTTAATCTACTATTGCCCCTTGTCTGCATGAGCAGTATTTTGGTATAGGCGAAACTAACCCCTTAAAGTCCATTTAAAGGGCTGCCAGGAGGTGGGGGTGAAGGGATTAAGCAGTCAGTCACTTGCTTTCACGTTCAGGGTTGTTGTTGCCACCTTACCCATGTCTGTTCTGTCATGGTAACTGAAACAATAACTTAGAAATCTATACTAGCCATTCTAAATCTTTAGGAAAATGGGAACTTAAAGTGGTAATAAACCCAAAAGCAAACATATTATATTGCAGCCTACCAATTCTTAGATGTGATGGCTGCATTCGTTTTCCTTTTTAGGCTTTCTTTTATTTTCACCTGGTGATCTAGCCAGGAAGTCTGCTGTTTTTCAACAGAACAACCTGTCCTTCAAATGTAGCAGTTAGTGGGTTGAGTTAAACCATTTACCACTGATAGGGGTGCTTACAATGATCACCTTTATTTATGTAAAAAATCTTTATTCCTAAAGGAAAACCTCTTGCTTTAACTGCCTATAAAGTATTAGATGTACTAGCAGATTTAAGTAAACTAAACAAATTTAAGTCCACTCCAGCTAATACTCCCCTCCCCCCAGACTGACAATGCTGCCGTCTGCCATGCCTATGTGCTCCTTCATGCAGCGTGGAGGCACTCGAATAGGTGTGTTACTGGCCACATCACAAGGTGCAAACAGAGGGGGGAAAAAAAAAAGCCTTAAACAAAAATTAAAAAAAAAAAAAAAAAAAAAACACAAATGAAGCTACCACATCGAAAGATTGCTAAGCTGCAATACATTCCATTTTTTAGTTTTGGGTTTAATACGGCTTTAATGCAGAATTAAACCCTCCTATCCTTCAGTTAGGACATCATCCTATTAGCTGTGGCACTATGAAAGATGGTTTGACAGTTCGGCTGACAGCACAAGAATCTGTGACAGTCATTCACAGCATACCCTGAAGGTAACGGTTTTGGGAAACCATTAAAATGATGAGTTTAACTCTGCTTTAATGTAGGATGTGCACTGCAAATGCACTAATAAACCTAAAGCAAGGCAAGCCATAGAACTCTGTGCAATACATCGAATCACAGGAAATGAAAAGCGAACAACACAGAAATGTAAACAAAGGGAGTATGGAAGCAATCAGAACCAAAAAGGTGTTGGAGCATCAGTGTACACAACAAGCTATCAACTGGAAGATGGAGAACCAGTTCATCTAGTTGCACTGTAGACACACATGCACCATAACTTCACCTACACACTGATCGCATATGCGATTTTGCTGAAATTGCGGTGCATTTTTCACAGACTAATGTGACTCAAAAACCTCATCAAAAGCACAACACAGGTGCACTCTTTTGATGCATTTTTGCCGTTTTCAATGAATGTCAATGGGGTGGGGTGTTTTTGGTGTAGCTTTTATTTATTTTTTTTTTTAAACTGACAAAATATGACCCAAAACTGCGTCAAGGAGGATTTTGTTTTACACCAAAATGGAAGCACAACGGACCAGTGTGAAGGCATACATACACATACTAGGGAAGCATTTTGCCTTCAGCTTTTCTTGCGCTTTTTTTTAACGCAAAAGTGCTTCAAATACTCCTCAGCGATTTCTTCACACACTTCCATACATTGTAGCTAGTAAACACATTTTGAATACGATTCTTCTAATGTTGAAGGTTTAAGGTAATTTAAAATCATCAGGTTTAATGCATACTCTCTTGCTGTGTGCTTTCATGCTGTTTGACTGTTGCCATGGCAACACAGCAAGAATAGGTTATGGATAGGGTAGGTGTGATAGGTACAACTGTCATTAAGCATCTCAAATCATCACCAATGCTGAATTCTTCCACAACCTTCCCTTTCTCACATCAGGCATATGTGAATGTTTAGCGTGTAATACAATTCAGACAGAGCTTAAAGTGGAACCAACCACTTTCTCCTTTAGGCCTCATTCACACTTGCACTGTCATACCTGCGTTTATATATGCATTTCTAGATGCATATAAATGTACACTCACCGGCTATTTTATTAAGTACACCTTGCTAGTACCAGGTTGGACCCCTTTTGCCTTAAAAATTGCCTTAGTTCTTCATGGCATATATTTAACAATTCCTCAGAGAGGTACATATTGATCGCATCACGCAGTTGGTGCAGATTTGTCGACTGCACATCCATGATGCGAATCTCCTAGTCCACCACATCCCAAAGATGCTCTATTGGATTGAGATCTGGTGACTGTGGAGGCCATGGAGTACAGTGAACTCATCGTCATGTTTAAGAAACCAGTTTGAGATGATTTGAGCTTTGTGACATGGTGCATTATCCTGCTGGAAGTAGCCATCAGAAGATGGGTATACTGTAGTCATAAAGGGATGGTCATGGTCAGCAACAATACTCAGGTTGGCCGTAGCGTTTAAAATGTTGCTCAATTGGTAGTAAGGGGCCCAAAGTGAGCCAAGAAAATATCCCCCACTCCATTACACCACCACCAGCCTGAACCGTTGACACAAGGCAGGATGGATCCATGTTCTTTACGCCAAATTCTGACCCTACTATCTGAATGTCGCAGCTGAAATCGAGACTCATCACACCAGGCAATTTTGATGAGCCTGTGCAAATTGTCACCTCCGTTTCCTTTTCTTAGCTGACAGGAGTGGCACCTGGTGTGGACTTCTGCTGCTGTAGTCCATCTGCTTCAAGGTTCAACGTGTTAGGTGTCAGAGATGGTATTCTGCATACCTTGGTTGTAACGAGTGCTTATTTGAGTTACTGTTGCCTTTCTATCATCTGGAACCAGTCTTCCCATTCTTCTCTGACATCAACAAGGCATTTAAATTCACACAACTGCAGCTCACTGAATATTTTGTCATCTTCGGACCATTCTCTGTAAACCCTAGAGATGGTTGTGCGTGAAAACCCCAATAGATCAGCAGTTTTTGAAATCTCAGTCCAGCCCGTCTGGCACCAACAACGATGCCATAAAGTCACTTAACTCCCCATTCTTCCCCATTTTGATGCTCGGTTTGAACTTCAGCAAATCGTCTTCACCACGTCTAGATGTCTAAATGCATTGAGTTGCTGCCATGTAAATGGCTCATTAGCAATTTGTTTTACCAAGCAATTGAACCGGTGTACCTAATAAAGTGGCCGGTGAGTGCATGTGATATTTCATTCACAGTATAACTGCATTTAGAGAAAATAGAATTCTGTGCATCCAGGATCCAAAAATGCTAAAAATATGTACACATGATTAAACATCCCTAAATCTTTAAAAGGGTTAGTTCACCTTTACAAAACACTGTCTATGTAGATAAGGGGTATCTGTAGATAAAACAAACTGTGCAGCTCTGACCAAAGCTGAATAATGCCCTTGCTTTAGGTGTAGGCCATATACACACACGTCATGAAGCCTGACTAGAATACTCCCAGGATGTTGCTAGGACATTGCTAAGTGAGGCCTAGTCATTACTGCTCACCTCCACCATCACAGGAGTAAGCTTTTTCTCAGCATTTGAGATCTCACTCCTGTGAAGGAGGCAAGCAGTAATGACTAGGCCTCACATAGCACCATCTTGGGAATATTCTACTCAGGCTTTATGGGGTATGTGAATGACCTACAACTATAGCAAGTGCATTATTCAACTTTAGTCAGAGCTGCACAGTTTGTTTTTATCTACACAGACTACTAAAAAAATGGTCTATGAAGATAAAGGTTGTCTGTGTAGATAAAAACAAACTGCAGCTCTGATTAAGTTGAAGAATACCCTTGCTATAGGTGTAGGCCATTCACATACCCCATGAAGCCTGAATGGAATACTCCCAGGATGTTACTATGTGAGGCCTAGTCATTACTGCTCGCCTCCATCACAGGAGTGAGATCTCAAATGCTGGGAAAAAGCTTACTCCTGTGATGGTGGAGGTGAGCAGTAATGACTAGGCCTCACTTAGCAATGTCCTAGCAACATCCTGGGAGTATTCCAGTCAGGCTTCATGATGTACGCATATGGCCTACACCTATTGCAAGGGCATTATTCAGCTTTAGCCAGAGCTGCACAGTTTGTTTTTATCTACACAGACAACCTTTATCTTCATAGACAGTTTTTTAGTAAAGAAGAACTAATCCTTTAAGCTGGAACATCTAAATGCAGGAAAAATTGATCTAAGAGGCATAAAACTAAACTAAGCGAAATGCAGGTATGCCAGTGTGAACAAGGTCTTACTGCCAAGGAAACTGCCATTTTAGCCTCTGTTTGATCTTCAGTTACCATGGTGCTGCACATGTGATCAACTAAGACACCAGCCTCTACATCGACAATTCAAGGTCTCTAGCTGACGCTGGCATCTTCTCCTTGACTTTTTCTGTGTGGTCTTCAGCCACCTTGATAGGCTGGAGCAGGATGACATAATTCCCGCACATGTGCAGGAGTAATGTCTTCCCGGCATACAGACACTTTGCCGGAACGCAAACGGAGCTGCGCACGTGCAACAATGGAATCCTAAAGCTTTACTCCAGTCAAAACACTAAGTTTTGGACACAGTGAGAAAGATTAGGACCTCTGTATTGTTGTTATTGTCATCTGTCCTCCCAATGTTCCAACCCTTCCTAACAGCATAAAAAAACTATAACATTTTGTCTCTTCCATTAATAGACATACAGTACCAATTGACAGTCAGAATTTAATGCATCATAAATTGGGCAGCAAGCTTATCTATCACCAATGTAAGCCAGTAATTTTCAGAATTATATTATAATGTACCTTTTTCTTGAAGAGCTTGTCTTCTTTAACTAGCTTTAACTGCAGCAGAAAAAAAAACAATGTTAGTTGACAATAAAAAAGAAATTACATTAGATTATTAAACTATCTAACATTTGCACATGATATGCTATATGCTTTTTACAGCAAACCACAAATTAGGATTCTTCATATGATATCCTAAAGGGAACATTACCTTCAACACCTCCTAACTAGTAATCAGCAGCTTGTATCAATGTGCTTGCATTCAAGCTTTTATCCCCATACAAGTCTATAAGAATCCAAAAGCTGAATGAAGCAGCCCACAAGGAGGTTAAAGTGATTGTAAAGGCTTATTTTTTAAAAGTAACAAACATCATACTTCCCTGCTTTGAGTAATTGTTTTGCACAGAGCAGCCTCCTCTTTTCGGGTCCCCCGCCGGGAAGCAGCTTCCTATTGAGGTACACCTGCATGATCGATCCTGAGCTGCCTTTGTGTGTCTATAAGACACACAGAGCGTGACTCTGCCCCGCCCCCTCCTCCGTGGCTGTGACTTGACAGCAGCGGGAGCCAATGGGGAAAGAAAGAGCCTCTGCTTTCCTGCACATTGCTGGATCAAGATCAGGCTCAGATAAAGATAAAGGGGGGGGGGGGGGGGGGGACTGGAGGGGGAAGCTGCATGCAGAAGGTTTTTTTTCATCTTACTGCAGAGAATGCTTGAAGGTAAAAAACCTTCTGCCTTTACAACCTCTTTAACTGTAGGCCAAACAAAGCTGCAATGAATTCTGAATGACATCAGAAGCATCTAAAACTGATGTCAAAAGCAAGCTGCATTTTCATAGCAACAAGAGCCCTTATATTGGTAGTGGAATGCTGTCATATTGGATTTTAGATACAGTACATAGGAATTACGTCAACCTGATGCTGATCAAAAGGATCTTCCTTAATCTGTTCCCACCTGCCCAATAGCAGAATGACAGCCGAGCAGGACTCTTGTCGATCTGGGTGGGTGTCATATGATGTCCTTCCTAGATCGCGCAGGGCCGCGCTGTGGCAAGATCTGTCACCGGCTGTGTACTTCAGACACAGCTGATGACAGATCTGTGTACCGGCCAGTTGCCAGTACCATGTGACCAATCACAGAAGGTCACATGACAATTGTAAACAATGGATGGCTTCCTTTCATGCCATCCATTGTATACAATTGTGTCACTAGCTGTGATTGGTCACAGTGATCACATTTACAGACTGGGTCAATCATAGCCCATCTGTGTCATGTGATTAGCCATGGCCAATCACAGCTAATCACAACAAAAAAAACCCTGAATTAATCAATTTCAGTTAAATGTTTGCTTATACCAAAGAAATGCTTGCTATAAGCAATGTGTAAAAAAAAAACCAAAAAAAAAAAACTGATCACTTCCCCAAAGTTGTACAATGTTACTATAACATTATACTACTCTGGTCACAGTGTATTATGAAAAAAAAAAAAAAAAAAAAAAAAAACAAACAAGATGATGGTCACCGGTCAGTGTCCCTTATCACCACCACAATACTTATATGATGACGCTGTACTGCACTGGTGACAGTATGCAAAAGAAAGAAAAAAAAAAAAAAGTGACTTTTTTAATGACAAAAAAATTACAGCTTCAAAAAACTTGCCATGCCTCTTACTAAACACCTCGGACTGTCTACTTTGCAAAAAGGGGTCACCTGGGGGATATCTGTACTGTCCTGACATTTTTGTGCTTCAAGAAATTAGATTGGCCATCAGTACTTCAGAATTTATTATTTAGTCTGTAGGAAAGTTATAGAGTTCACAAACTATGGGATATATCTGAAAATTGATCAATCCTGATTTGGATTATTTTCACCAAAGAAATGTAGCAGAATACATGTTGACCTAAATTTATGAAGAACAATTATTTATTTGCACAATTTTCTACCAGAAACAAAGCAAAACATGTTTTTTTTTTCAAAATTTTCGGTCTTTTTTCATTAATTTAGCAAAAAATAAAAACCCCAGCGGTGATTAAATACCACCAAAAGAAAGCTCTAGTTGTATGAACAAAATGATAATTTAGTTTGGGTACAGCGTTGCATGACTGCGCAATTGTCATTCAAATTGTGAGCGCTAAAAGCTGAAAATTGGCCTGGGCAGGAAGGGGGTAAAAGTGCCTGGTTCTAAAGTGGTTAATCTAAAATAGGAATACTCCCTTAAAACTGAACCTTCCAAGAAACCAAACTAACACTGCTCCCAAAAGTGACTTGGTGCTTTGCCCTGCCCCCACCACTTAACAGTCCTATGCAAAGTATAATGGAATGGAACGCTCGCGGGTTAAACTAAAGAAAATGAATTGCTTTCCCCATCCATGTTAACAGTATGAAAAAATCTCCACTGTTGCCCCTGAAATGTGCTGGATGTTTTTATATGAATGTTCATGACGCTTATCTGATTTAGGCCTGGCACTCCGTTTTGTTTTTTAATGGTTTGAGCTACTGTTGGGTGCCTATCAAGGGAAGCCTTTCTATGTATGAGCCTTCTTACCAGAGCTATTAGGCTTGTTTGAAGTTTTTCTTCGTCTGACTACACCTGCAAGTCTAAAAGTACCCAGTGCCTCGGAGTATGTTCTGCTATAACAGGGACCAGCTGTGGGTTTCAGTCTGCGCCTCAAAGCATTAACTTCAATTAACAGTGTAAATGAAGCCTGCAAACAGTGTTTGCATACTTCATTTATAAAGTATGCTGTAACAATCTGCATATGCTCAGACATGCTGCATATGTGAAATGTACACATTGCATCTACAACTCCTGTTAAACAGCCCTAATTAGGACCTTCATCCCTTTGCTAGTGAGACTTCTGTCGGACAGAGAGCTGTACAAATGGGCCAAAAGTCAGATGGTTCCTGCTGAACCAACAGTTTTTGGTCTAGGTGTACCCAACTTTAGTCCTATTTCTTTAGTGGAGGTTTTTACACTAGCCATGACCCAGTAAAATGGGTTTAGAAGGAAGGGGAAAAGGCTGCACATTATTACATTGACACCAAACATTTGATTTTACTTGAGAGTTCAGCTCCGCTACAAAGGCCAAGATCTGCCACAGAAGAGCTGTACTTTGACATTAAAGTGTTACTAAACCCAGAACCCTGCATTCACTATATCTGGTCTCCCATAGTACACAGAACATGGAAATGCAATTATTTCAGTAAATATAAAACTGCTAAATACCTTTTCTCATCAGCATTCAGGCTAGGTTCACAGCTAAGCGTTTTCCGCACAGTTTTGCAGAAATGCACTACAGTCCATTTAACATGATTTCCTATGGGGCATGTTCACATCTCTTCAGTTTTTGGAAAGGGTCATGGACTTTTTTGAACGCAAAGAGTTGCATTTTTTGGTTCTATTGACTTCAACGGAAATGCTTCAGAAAAGCATGTAGTGCGTTTTTGCGACGTTTTAAATCTGCCTAGCAACAAGAAAAAAAGCAAAACCTGCAAAATGCATAAAAAATGCAAAACGCACCACAGAAAAGGATCAAACACACTGCATAGGTGTGAACCTAGCCTAAGAGCAGTCTTGTGACTTATCAGTGTCCAGCAGAGCACTGGTTAAAGCTTGTAGGAGGAGTTTTCATTCTGATTATCCTATGAATCTGCATAACCCCCGACCCTCTGTCTGGACAGATTGGCCCTGTGCTAATTACATTCATTCTCCCAAGAAAAAAAAAAAAACTCTAGCAATACACACCAAACTGAGCATAGCATGTGCAGCTTGCCCCTAAGGCTCATTTCTATCAGCAGATGGATTGGGGACAGTGGAAGAAGGGGAGGATCACAGAAGAGAGGATCAAACAGCCTTTCTACACAATAAGAAGATTAACCCCTTAGGTTCCACAGTCAGTATAACAAGCATAATTTACTGCACATACAGACTGATTTTACTGTTGTGGGTTTAGTAACACTTTAACATGAATGGAGTGCTCTGCACATAGCATTCATATATCTGCAAAAGCCTGGTGTATGTAAAACTGGGCCTGTCATTTTCATACATGAAGTTGAAACAAACCAGCAGTGGTCCAGTGAAATGGATGACCACAGACATCACAAAATGATGCAGCTTTTTACTTTCAACAACCATTTAAAACAGATAAACAACCCCCATCAGTCAGCTTGCAATTTCACTCTGTTTCTAACTCACCCTCTTCCTGACTGCAGGGTCAGAAGTTTTTTCCAGAGGCCGTTTCCTCTTAAAGGGGCCATCGTCAGGTTTTCGTTTTACAATTCCCTCCAGGACTTTCTTTTTGGGCTGTTCTTCCAAATTCTGCCTAGGGGTTTCCTCTCTTTCTTTCTTTTTTACAAGTTCTGTTATCTCCTTATTATCCCGGTTCATCTTCTGCTCCTTAAGCAAAGACCCCGGCAGGTTGGAAGCATACTTAAATCCTGGACCTCTTTTTTGCTTGTAGACCAAAAAGTGAAAAAACATGAAACACTTTATATCTTATGCTTAAGGTTACGTGCATTTATAATAGTAAATAATAAAAACTAAAAGGTCTTAATTGCATGTTCCCTCTGTATAGATTAATGTATGAAACTAGAGGTCGCCCAGAAATTTTTTAGAAAATATGAGGGTATTGATTAAGCATTACAGACACTTGTGACACACTGGACATGTACTTCCGGGCCTAGGATGGGGATTTGGAGGTTTACTTTGAATCGTATACGCAACTCAAGCTATGATATTACATTGCACTCTGGTGAGGTTTATTACATTTTTTAAATAGTAGTCGGCTATGCAAGGCTTTTCTTAGAAATTATAGTTTGTTGTTGAATTACTTCTACTGAAGTTCCAGCTTCCTTGTACAATCACTGAAATTGCCTACTTTTTCAATATGCTGTCTGTGGATGTTCCTCTTGAACATATTGGGGTTGATTTACTAAAACTGGAGAGTGCAAAATCTGGTGCAGCTGTGTATGGTAGCCAATCAGCATTTAACTTCAGCTTGTTCAATTAAGCTTTGACAAAAAAATTGGAAGCCGATTTTTTTCTATGCAGAGCTGCACCAGATCATGCACTGTTTGCACATTGTTTTACTAAAATCAACTCCATGTTATTGAAATGCTTACAATTTTTGAAATAAAGGAAGTATTAAAAAAACAAAAAAAAACAGATAACGCCGAAATAACACATCTATTAGGCCTCATGCACACTGTGCATTAACCCCCGAAGCATGAGACTCCCCTTTTAGGTGCAGGTAGAAGGCACACCATCCAGCCCCACTGCTGCCACCCTGTAACACTCTATGAGGGACTAACAGCTGCTGCAGCTGGATGGTTGCACCGAGGGGTACTAACATTTAGGGTAATTGCCCAGCACAAATACCCTGAATATAGACTGCTTGTATTTCGGGCATTTTATAAGCAGAACAGAATTATGCCCTAAAATGTGTGCAACATTTCAGTTTACAAAAACATCTACATGTTTTACTAAATAATAAAAGCAATTTAAGGCTAGGTTCACATCTGTGCGGGTGGTGGTGCTGCTGCGGATCTGCACAAAAATCTGTGCACCTACACAGAAGAATGCAGACCCCGTGGGTGGGGTGCCATTAATTCTAATAGCACGCCGCCCGCATTGGAAATCGCAACCGTACTGGGAACCGAGGTTCCCGTGCGGGCTGCGTTTTCAGAAGTGCAGGGACTTCTTCCCTGCGTGTCCCGGGGGCACGGGAGTCCATTCAAGTGAATGGGCTCTCATGCCCAGGCAGAATGCGAATATGTGAACCAGGGGTTAAGGTTTCCAGTGCTGACTGGCTGGCCCACCCTTATACTTGGAATAGCCCCACTAGTATCAAAAGAGGGGAGTCCAGCATAGAGTTAGATACTCACAAAATATTCACAAGGTTCCACTACAGAGGACTACAAATGAAACTCACAAAAGGTCTAATGTAGGTCTACTACTGCCATGAGCACATATTTTGCTGGAACCTGAATACAACTACAAAACCACAGTTATCTGCCCTACAGCATATAAGAGGTTAACATACATATACTTCTATTAAATTTTCCCAGGTGCCAGTCTATCTTATGACATGGCAGCTTATGCAGTAACCATATACTCACTTTCCCAGTTTTCCCAGCATGGTTGCATTTTGGACATTCCCAGCAGTTTGGAAGTTCATCATTTACCACACCATCAGATTCCTTTATCTGTAAAAAAAATAGACAATTAAAAATGTCTTCTCAACACAGTTTTGTCACACGCCAATGACACCCAATGTCAATACTTCTCTTTCCTGAAACTACCACAAGTCCCAATGGAAGCTTCATATTTAGTTCAGTGAGCTTGTTAGAGTAGGAAGACCTACATTTAGGTGGTTTGTGATGTGTGCAATCAGACAAACCAATTATGAGGTATGATACACATGCATATGTACATGTAACTATGCAAAATTATCCATACATAAACTTCAGCTTTGTCCTTTTTATGTCCTGTGAAGGAAACCGCATTCATGTGCACCCTTAAACACCTCTGAATTTTGTCTCTTTTGGTGTACGCCTATTTCATTATGTACAGTGATCTACAGTAAGCTATATGGTTCTAATGGTTATTGATCTGTACGTGGAATGGAATGTGTTCTGTCACCATCTCATCTTTGTTTTGAACACTCCGTACAGGGATTGAAAAACTTTTCTTATTTGCCCCCTTTTGGTCTGTTAAATATACCATTGAAAGTGTTATGTTATGATAAAAAAACAAAAAAAAAAAAAAAACCCAAACAATTGACTTTGTTATCTCAAGGTGCCTAATTAGCCCTCCAGGTTCCTATTTCGAGACTACATATCAATTTGCATGTATGTTTTGGGGATAGGAGAAGAAAAGGATGCAATTCAGTAGTTATAGGGAAACATCACCCAAAAGGGGAAGTTTTTGCTTGTCTCCCCCCCCCCCCCCCTCTTTAACAATTGTAATTTTTATTGGGTGGGTGGGGGAGAGCAGATAACTGATTTTGACAGGTATCAGATCCCACTTCCACCTGGATTGCCTAAGCGATCTGAGCTGAAGTTCATCCCCTACCTCCTGTTTGCCCGCAGCCTTCTGGGACATATCACAGGTTCCAGAATACCATTCACAAAGCGCGGCTCGCACATGCACAGTGGAAAGCTGAATGTGAAACCGCAAGGCTTCACATCCTGTTTCCCTTGGTTAAGATGCCGGAACCTGGGCCCCCAAAGCCCAGTGAAGAATCGGCTCTGCGGTGAGGACAGCTGGATCCCTGGACAGGTAAATGTCCTTATATTAAAAGTCATCAGCTACATTATTTGAGGGAGGGAGGGAGGGTGCGGGGGGACTGAAGCTCTTCTTTAAGCAAGAGACAACTGAACAGGGCTGGCACCTATCGGTCTAGTAAAAAAACTCTGCATATAATAGGGAATTAGTAATTGAATATATTTCTTGCAGATTAACAAGTTGCAGGGGTCCATAAAGGGATAAACCATTGGGAACTATGCATGTATTGCGGAGATGTAATTCATTTTTTCACCCCGACAGATACTTTACAAATGCTAAAGCCTTGACATCATGATCAAGACAGTGGACAATAGAAAAAAGAAAATGCTGTGAAAAAAAAAAACAAAAAAACCACAAAACAACAAATGGTTCGATCTCTAGACTCTGCCTGTCGGTGATTGCTTTGTCTTTAATTTAATAGCTGCCATGTAGATAAGCCTGTGCACACAGGTCATAGCCTATCTGATCACTCACAATGGAAAACAAAGAATGGGCTATACAATTTCAGCATACCTGAGACATTTTCTTCTGTATTGTAGTAAATTATTGGGAATGCTTGTGTGCCAAACACTGCTCACTTACCATCCAACCACTCCGAATCTGCTTACATTTTATGGCTAGATGTAAGTGTATGTTAACATGCACCTGAGCAGCACAATGGCTAAGTGGTTAGCACTTTTGCCTGGCAGTACTAGGATTGTTGGTTCAAATCCCAACCATGGCACCTCCTGCCTGGAGTATGCATGTTCTCCCTGTGTGCCTGCGTGGGTTTCCTCCGGGTACTCCGGTTTCCTCCCACACTCCAAAGACATGCAAGTACGTGAATTGGCTCCTGTCTACATTAGCCCTAGTATGTGTATGTATGTATGTATGTGTGTATGTATGTAATGAATGAATGTAAATTAGGGACCTTAGATTGTACAATATATATGTAAAGCACTGCGTAAACTGACAGCGCTATACAAGTACCTGAAATAAAATAAAGGTGCCATAGACCTGCAGGCACAGTCAAGTACAGCTATGATCTGACTGCCCTCAGGCACCAGAGTCTACCGGTATATATACAAATATGAATGTTCTGCTCAACTGAACATTTGTGTTTATGCCTATAGAAAGTGGAGGAGCAGTCAGACATTGCATTTGACTTATTTCTTGGGGTAAAAAAGCATTCAGACAGGTTTTTTTTTTTTTTTTTTTACCCGTGTGGCAAGGGTGATCTAATCAGTGGGTATGAAACTTTTGCCCAACCCATCCATGTTCACCAAGGCTATGCAGGTTGCATTTGAGCTGTTTCTGCATTGCGTTTTTGATGTGTTTTTTTTTTTCTTGTCACTAAGCAGATTTAAAATGCAAAAATGTATCAAAAACGTGGCAAAAAACGCAATACATTCTTTTCTGCAGCGTTTCCATTGAAGTCTATAGAACCAAAAAAAATTTTTTTTTGCTTACAAGAAATCCCTAATCCTTTCTAAAAAAAAAAAAAAAAAAAAAAAAAAAAAAAAGGCAGCGAGTAAAAACACAAAGATGTGAACATGTCCCATAGGGAATTATGTTAAACGGACTGTACTGCGTTTTCTGCAAAACGCAAAATGCAGCAGAAACCGCTTAGGTGTGAACCTAGGGTAAGGGTCCCAAGTTGACAAGTTTTGGGCTTGCATCAATGGCCAAATGCAGCTTGATTTCAGGTGCATTTGAGATCAGTTTGAGATCAGAGTTCACTGACAGATGAATCTGACCTCCTCCTGACTTCCTAAACTGCATCAACCCATTTCAAACTGATTTTGCATTCCCTCTAACTTGGGAAAGAAGCAGTCTGATGCAGACTTAAAATGAGCAGATTAATGCATAGCAATGGTAAGCATATATGACTGCATTAAAGACTGCACCCAAAGTAAAGGGATTATGAGAGCATACCTCTACCCTACCCTTTTATATAAAAATTTCTCTTACTGCAGTTTTTTTTTTTTGTCCTGATAGTTAGGCAATAAGAAAAACAAATCCCCGATATCTTGACAAAAGAGCTGAAAACAAACCTCAAGCTCAGCACTATCATCGTCTGCATCACGAAGGTCCTTTCATATGGCAGAAGTCATGATTACTGCATTATTTAGCTCTTTGTATCAGATAACTTGAAGCAGCACAGCAGATGTTGGCACTTGCATAAAAACTAATTATAGCTACAGAAAAAGCTATTGAAAAATTCTGCAAAGACTATTAAATGATGGAACTCAGCCAAATAAACAGCAATTGTGCTGCCAGAAAGAAAGGTTGATCAACTAGGAATTTTGTACTACCCCATGAGAGAATATTATTAATGAGGGTCCTTGTATAATAGCAGTGACAGTGGTTATAACGATGCCGTTTTCTACAACAGATTTTATTAACTGACAGGATGATGTGTGCTAAGAGATTTGCTATTTAATCCTTAATGTCTGCCCATAACCCATCCACTACCGATAATGGGACAAATACATACACAAGATGATTATCAATCAATTCACTACTGACATCTGTAAGACATTCATGAATCAGCCAGCTACTACTCCATTGTGTGCACAGGGATGAATGATGACATTGACAGATTTTTAGTACTGGGGATATGTTGTTTTATTTCTAAAGGACACCAGGAGTCAAACCATCTATTGACAGTACTGACTTAACACCCTAGCCTTCTATAGATGCTCAGCGATATGCTGCATACAGTATTTTTTTTTTTTTCTTTCTTTTAACAAACCAGCAATTCGCTTAAGATAACAGCAATGCAGATCGTAGGATTTAACAAACCTACACGTTACAGAAATATAGCCACTTTGAACTGTAATTACTGTACTGTAGCTTTGTATTTAATAGAAAGATTTATTTTTGGAAGCAGAGCGGTGGTAATCAGTTAATTACTCAATGTATTTTACTATACATTTATATAGCGCAGTCATTTTGTTAATTGACAGAGTTGGCATGCTGATGTAATATGCACAATATAGATGGAATCCAGTTAAACAGTCAGTATATTTATGGCATGTAAATCACTACAAACCCACTGAAACAAAGGATAATTAAGCTTTCAACCCCAGCATGTAAAACATTAGTGCCAAGCCCCTAGGCACTAGGTCTAATATTCTTAATAAATGTGCAAAACCTACTTATGTTACCTACCTTAAGGCATCCTGGATGGATTATTTCATTGCAGATGGAGCATTCCATCAACATTACATTAAATTTTGCTTCCTGGCCTTCCACGCAGTCCTCCTTTCCTGCTTCTCCACATACTAAACAGACAGCTGTATGAGGCAAAACCGGCTACAAGGACAAAAAAAAAGAAAAAGCAGAAATCATAGTAACATCTATACAATTATACGATTCAGATTAAATGTAAAGGGTCTATGTGCTAAGATTTTTTTCCATTGTGGTTTGGATAAACAACTGAAGCAAGCAAGATGTTTCCAACCTGAAGACCTTTGGTATGGCTTGTCTGAATCCAGATTTGTGTGGGCCTGTGTGCATGGCCTGCAGCATCTGCTGCTCTGCTTCCTCATTATCAAACCCATACAGGAAAAACACCCTCCTGTACACAGACCATAAAGTTTAAACAATGAGCACTGGCGGAGATTTCAGCATTTGCCAAAGATAATTAGACTGCCCTAAAGTTTGTATCCAATAGCTTTGAATATAGCAAAGACCAAAAGACTCACATTGGCAAGAAATGTCTGATAATTTTCTTCATAAGTATTGTGAAACTCAAGAAAACATAAGAGGAATTTTTCCATCTTTGTACTGAACATCTGAGTTTGAATATTCAGTCTTAAAAATATAACTGCAGAAATGTATATTGTTGCCTATTCTGACAATAAATATCTATGGCCTGGCAGATTTTCTGACAACACTCATTCTCCCATCTCCTTAAAGTACATCTACACCCAGAAAACAGACATTGAAGTATTCCCCTTTCTTTAACAAACAGTAAACATGTTTTAAAACAAGTTCTCACTAAACTCTGTAGCTACAGCCACTGTGGGGGAAATTCCCCTTTAGGGCCCACTCACACCGCTCGCTGTGTTTTTTCGAAATGAATGGGCTGCAAACACCTTCACATGCAAAAAAATAGCACTATGCATTGTGGTGTGCTGTGGTGAGTTGCAGTGCAAATGTATTGTGGAGGTGCCATAAATGAAGAGCAACATAGCGCAAATAGGGGTTGATTTACTAAAACTGGAGATTGCATAATCTGTTGCAGCTGTGCATGGTAGCCAATCAGCTTCCAACTTCAGCTTGCTCAATTAAGCTTTGAAGAAAAAAAAAAAAAAACCTGGAAGGTGACTGGCTACCATGCACAGTTGCACCAGATTTTACGCCCTCCAGTTTTATTAAATCAACTCCATAGTGTTTTACCTTGGGTTACCACAACATGGATGTGTGAATGACCCCTCAAAGTTCACTGAAAGTATTGAAATCTCAACTCCTCACCCCTTATTTTTTCTCTGGCAGCAATGTAAATAAACAGCAGGTTAGAAACTTTAGAGTCTCTGTAGCTGCTTGTACTGTGGAGTAATTCATCCTCAAAGATCCCACCAGAGGTCAGAAAGGGCTTTTTTTTTATAATGGCTTGTTTACATCAGAATGATCTGCTGCAGGTGTCAACATGATCCCAACGACGCCCCAAAATGCAGATCATAAATGCATTTGCCTGAACTGGATCACATGGTATAGCAGCACCATCCGGTCACACTGCACTAAATTGCACAGGAATGCAGACCACATTTCTGTGCAAATCAGGTGTGAACCAGTCCTTGGAGTGTTACTAAACCCAGGACCCTGCATTCACTCTATCTGGTCTCCCACAGTACACAGAACATCGAAATGCAATTATTTTAGTAAATATAAACTGCTAAATACCTTTTCTCGTCAGCAGTTAGAGCAGTCTTGTGACTTCTATTAGTGTGCAGCAGAACACTGATTAATCTTGTAGAAGGAGTTTTTTATTGTCCTTTGACAGTCCTATGTGGCTACATGACCCCTGAACCTCTATCTGGACAGTGCTCATTGGCCCTGTGCTGATCACATGCCCCCTCTCAAAGAGAAAAAAAAAACAACTCTCTAGCAATACACACTAAGCGGAGCATGTGCAGAGAGACTCCTAGAGCTCTGTACTATCAGCATATTGATTGGAGACAGTAGAAGGGGAGGTGCAGAGAAGTCAGAATAAAACATTGTTTTTGCACAATGCAATACATTGTGGTACAGTGAATAACTCCTAAATGAGCACAGTTTAGGAGATATTCACATCTGTAGCAGCTGGTGACATCATCGGCGCATGCACCCTATGTTCTGAATGGACGGCATTCTTTTCTAACTGTAGTTAGAAAAGCTAGCATAAACTTAAAAAAGGGGCAAAAAAAGAATCTTTGATGAGTAAACCTACACAGTTATAATAATTTAAAACTGAATATTCAAATTCTAGCTCTTAAAAAAAAAAGTTAATAAAAATTAACACCTTCCTGTTGCAAGCGTCTTTAAAATGTACACTGAGCTATGCATGTGCAGTTCAGTGTACATGCTCCAGAATGCATTTTTGCCGAGATAAAGCAACTCTGGTGTACATGCACAGGAGTTTGATCATCCCAGGTCAGCCAATTAAGGAGGCCAAAGATGCCACACCCAGAGGAAGACCAGGCGACAATCTTGGCACTAGAGACACGGAGCTCACAGATGTTGCATTGCTGATGGAAAGGCATGTACGACCGACTATAGTTCAATTTTGAAAGTTACGTACATACGTGCAGAGATTGACCGTGCATTTGCAACTGCCATTTTCTGTGGCCTGTCAACACGTAGCACACCTAATGTGGCATCCCTCCTCTATACGTATATGGCTACTGAAAATGTGAAGGAACACAAAAAAAAGCTCCTGTAGTTGCAGCCTGCCCTGTTTATCTTTTGCAGGAAATCTCAATAGCAACAAGGCGGTTCTAGAAACAGAAAAACTGGGCAATGAGCCATATTTATCAAATGGTCAATAGGAAAAACTGTACTTGTTGCCAGTACTATGCAATAAAATGCCTTCATTTGCACAGTAAAGTATGGGAAATTGAGGCGGAGACGCTAACCATTTGCTAACATACAATTCACAACACAATGAAAATTTTAGAAGGATGATGTTTGATGGATTGTAAAGCCCAACTCCAGGACTGAAAAGAAAAAACCTCTTATAGACCCCCATGCACACTGCAAGGTTAAAATTCTAGTTACTCTAGGGGTGAGGAATTAGGTGTAATACTTACTCTATACTTAGCACCAGCAGGAGTGGCAGCTTCATCTGTGTGACTGGCCCCCTAAAGCAAGGGAGAATGTCACCAGCACACCAAGGATTACCAATATGGGTCCAAAGGTTTTAATGAACGATCACATAATTACAGTAAAGCAACGTTTTGTAGTCTTGCAGGGCATCAAGCATGTAATGTCCTGCGAGACTCTGAAACGTTGCCTTGCTGTAACTATGTGATCGTTCATTAAAACTTTTGGACCCATATTGGTAATCCTTGGTGTGCTGGTGACATTCTCCCTTGCCGATTCTGTTCGGTTCCAGCTGACAGTCGCTGCAGCACCCACTTATACACACAGCCATTTTTAACGCAGGAACGTGTGCGCTTGGATTGTACACTTGCATTCTGGCCCCCTAAAGCCTGCCAAGGGTCACGTGATAACATCATCAAGGACTGCCCACCACCATATAGTGAAGGATAGCACCGGAACGATGAGTGAGGCAAGTATTACATTTTTATTTCTCATCCACTAGATTTAATTAACATTTTCCCCCCCACAGATGGGCTTTAAATTAATCCGAATGACAGTTATATTACCATGTGCTGTTATTAAGAGTGGAAGCCCCATCCTATACCTTTTGACCACTTACATTTTAACTGATAGGTTAGCTTATAAAAATTATATTTGGTTATAGTTTTTACCATCTTCTTGTTAACCAACTACTCATTTGGTCTAGGAGGGACATAACAGGGGAGTATGAACCTTATTTTTTGCCAGTGCTCTTCTCCGTGCTCACTCTGGAATGTGAGTGGGCCCTTGCAGTTCTAACATACAACGCAGGATCACTGGTCCTGCATTGTACATGATTATATTGACAAGATAATGGTCACACAACTGGAGAACAAGAGCAGGTTCGTGTGACCAGATATTACTGGAAGGGAGGAAGGAAGGAATAAGTATAATAAGTATTCACTTCTAGTATACTCCCCCACCCCCCCTCAAACGACAAAAAAGGTATAAATATAAGAGAAGGGGCACCCAAATATAATTTTTATAAGTTGACCAGAGTACAGCTTTAAGGAAACCTGTAATAGAAGGAATATGAAGACTTCTTTTGCTGACCATCATCTGAAAATTCTATTTGCTTAGCAGTAATACTTTCTGGGACACTGACCTACAATATTGAAACTCATGAAAACCAGGGTACCCAATATGCATATTACAGGTCAGTGATTGAAAAATAAAAAAAAAAATAAAAATGAAATGCGTACAATTTCTTCCACAGTTACCTTGAACAGCTGATTGAAGGCACTCACTGGGTATTTAGCAGCTTCATATTCTGATATGCAATATGAAAAACCAGTGAGAAAATATCATTCTATTATACAGGACTATCCCATTTATTACAAAATCATAGACACAGAAAAACTCAACATATACTGTACTTTCTGACAATGCCCTTCATATGCTGATTACTTTCAACACACAGCTGGCCCAAAATGCCCTGAGATTCATTTATGGATCTGTGATCTGGTAACTAATGGACTAGCCCTGTAGAATAGAATGATATTCAGACAATATTTTTAATGTCAGATATTAGTGAAGCCTCTAACAGCAAGACAGCCAGGGATGTAGCTTTCTTTTTTTTTTGTGACAAAGGGACTAAAAAAAATATGAAATGAAAAAGAAAGGGAGGGACATGTATACATTACAGAACAAACATGAAATATATTATCTTCAGAACAAGGATAAAAAGTGCCCATTTACAGCAGGCAATACCTACAGCTATACACTGCCGCATTATACAGGACTGTTTCATCCTTCCTGGTCCTCCAAACTTCTTCATGTCTTTGCAAAAGTGACATTCTCCACACTCTGTTCGTAAACATGCTTCACACTTGCGGCACCGCGTCCGCCTCCGGCGGGCACCAGCGCTGGTCCTGTTAGTAGATAATTTAACTGCAGGAGAGGTGGCAAGTTTCCCTTTTGGTCTTCCTACTGCTCGGTTCTGTACAAGAGAAGAAAAAATGAGTTACAATTATTTTAGAAGAGGAGATTCACAAGATACCAAATTCTACAGCTTCCTCTATAGCAGGATAAAGCTTTAAGTGGGAAAAAAAAAAAAAAAGCGCTCCTAAAATTTCACTCTTGGCCAACCCTGACAAAGCATACTTTAAGGACTCATGCACACCAGGTGTATGTCCATCTCTTCTAGACGCCTTTCCTCCTGGCAACTGGATTTCGGTGGAAAGAAAAACAACCAAACACCTGATGCGCGTTAACACATGTAAACGTGTCTAGGCATGTTTATGTGTGTCAAGTGTTTGGGTGTGAATTCATTTCATTGGCCAGAATAAAATTAAGTGCTGGATGTGTCTAATGTTAAATTGCATTTACACGCGTAATCAGTTTTTTTCTGCCAAAACACTGCCGCTCCAGGACGCTCTGCCAGGCGGTATTTGGACACATAGGCTAACATGCAGGCACCCCTAACAGCAGAGTTAAAAATGTCCAGTGTGCACAAACAAAATCATTGGTAATAACTACCGCGCTACAGGTATCCATATCGCAATCTGCACAAATCACTTACAACTTTGCAGGAATCTGACCTTCTATAGCGAGATGATGGCCGGTAGATAGAACCCACAGGACCTCTTGCATACATTGAAAGACATCAAAACAAACCTCTGCTCTACAGAAACATGGTCATTTATCAAGACTTATCCTAGTTTCTCTTAACACACAGACAAAATAATTGTTATTCAAGAAAAAAGGCCAAAGTCATGAGTGAATCCATGCGATTCGGCATTGAAGATCCCATGAGCCCTCTTTTCAAATCCATACCATCTCATTTCTTGAGAGGAGGTCCTCTTATAGGTCAATTTTATATAAATCCTTGTTGAAGGAGTAATATATTTTTAATACAGTTATTTTTTAAATAAATTCCCTAACCCGCCAAATCCTGCAATTCCTTGCCCTCACTCCTGTTAGATCTTCACTTTGTGGCCTGCTGGGACGTTTTGAGGGCCTTGTTCACACACGCAGCAAGTTTGTTAACACCTCTGAAAAGCATTCTGCAGAGGTGGTTTTAGAGCCGATTTACAGGCATTAAGGAAGAGAAATTCTGTCTTCTAAAAGTCTGGGGTTTTTTTTAATCCCCAAGAGGGATTTTACATTTAAATCCTGGTGGACTGCACCTCAACCACACGCCTTAGATGCAGTTGCAGTGTGGTCCCATTGACTTGAACAGGGGGTGGATGGCAAGTGGCACCACCTACCAAGCGCAAGTAGAGTTGCCACCTCATCCCTTTAACACTGAACACATTAATTACACAGGTTCTGAGGCTACCTTAATGCAGATAAGGCACTGAGTTTAATTACCACCTTAATCAGCCACAGAACCTGTGTAATTAATACGTATCGGGTTTAAAGGGATGAAGTGGCAACCCCAAGCGCAACATGCTATATAAAATTTGTCACACTGCGAAGTGACTGTAGCAATCTATATAGACATATCCACTGGGCAGGTTAACTTGCTAGTAGGAGATAACAACATGGAACAACTGCCCGTTTTCACTGCCTATGAGGCCTAAAAAAAAAAAGTCTTTGAGCTTGAGGGTGCATGTGCAGTAAAATCCTCAATCATTTCTACGCAAAGGCTGCTACCATCAGTTCCAATAGTCACTGACCGTCCAAAGTACAGTAATCCCTTACATACTGTATCTATTCTAGGGCATTCCAAAATGTACTGTACAAAAATGTATACAAGTCATCTAATGCTAATGCCAACAGCAACAGTGATGAAATCTACAGGACAAATATGGGGATTCAGTCTAAAAAACAGCCCAAAATACTGATTCAGGCTGCTAGGTACAGCAATTTGTAGAATAAGCACCTACAAGTTTTATGGCATTCAAGGTTCTATCAGTTAAAATACACCTAGTTTTAAGTTCAGATTCGCATTTTCCTAATGCGATATGATGAATACTCTCAAACTGCACCACTCTCAGTAAATTTGGTAATCTTGCACATCAAAATGGAGTGGTGAGTGGCCAGCTTGGCTATGCATATTTCTTTATTTTGACATAGGAGAACAGTATCAGGTTTGTATTTATTTACAAAGCAGAGAAATACCAAAGTAAATATTTCTGAATGACATCACTTGTTTCTGAAGGCTGATTTTACTTATTCCTTCCTATCTGCCTTCAGATTTCACAAATATTTACCAGGGGAATGATCTGAAGGTGTTTAGACCTCTAAATGTAGATATCAAAAAGGCATGAAACTAAGCAATGGAAACAACTGGAAATCAAACAGATTCAGCTGAAGGTGCAAGTCCCCGGTCACACGGGATGTGAATTGGAATGTGATTTGCATGCCATGGGACTTGCAAATTGCATGCCAAGTCGCACCCTACTGTCCACAATTACAGCGGTCATATCAGTGCGGTTCCAACTTGGTTGGACCCGCATTGATTTCTAAAGTAGTACATGCAATACTCTTGGTGCAATTTGCATAGACATCTGTGTCAGATGTCTTGCAAATCGCACCTGAAATCGTCCTGTCATCCGACTTTGAAATCGTGCGACTTCACTGTAAGTCAAACGATTTCAAAATCGGGTTTGGTGTGACCGGGGTGTAAAATGAGAAACTGGCAAAAAATAAAATGTTAGGAGGAGATTCCTAGAATGTGTAACCGTTCAGCTATCAGATGCAGTGACAGCACACATACTATTTGTATGGGTGAACAAAATCATCTTCAGCATACCATCACATTATGACACTTACCTTGAAATGAAGCCCTACAACAATGCACTGTCACCGCTGTCAATACTTCCATTGTCACCCGGCCTTCCTTCCAGGTTCGGGCTCTTTGGCCATTTGAACAGCCTGGCTATGATGACATCATTCCCTCGCATGCGCACGGTACAGTGCTCTCAATGGACGGTATACTCAAGTGTGCCGTCCAATCAGAGTACAGTACGCATGTGACAGGAACGTCACCAGCTGCTACAAATGTCAATAGCTCCTAAATTGTACACATTTCACAGATATTCACTGTACCTACAGATTAGCAGCTGGAAAAACACCCAGTGTGCATGAGGACTGTTCTTGGCTTTTCATGGTTTTTTCTACAGCCAGTAAACTCCCCAGCATGTTATCCTATGTGTCCATGCACACATAGGCTGTAGCCTTCCTAGTGGTCTGAATATCTCCATATTTCTGTGCTCAAAGCGGTACATTTTTTTGCATGGAAATATGTATTTTCTTTATTGTAGGCCTGTAATTTTTAGGAATAACTCACTGAAATCTGTCCGAACAAGTCTAGTAAACATCCCGGGTATGATAAAATTTGAAACACAAAATCATAAATTATAAAATAATAATCATAAAAAATATAATAATAATTTAATTCAATAATATAATCAAACCAAAAACACAGAAATTTGAAATATAGCACCAAGTTGGCACATCACTAAACAAAGTCGCAGAATCGTTTTCAGTGTCCGATGACGAATTTCCCCACGAATCATTATCACTCAATTCTGCAAGTAGTTCTGATTTACTATCACTGTTCTCTAGCTGGTCTAAAACCGCTTTTGACCTAAAGGGACGCTTTTTGGACGCCATGGACGTTTCTCAGTTTCCAGGCAGAAAGAACAGTAAAAATGCAGGCAGGGCACAGGACAAAGCACTTGGGACAAAATGTATGTGAAATGGTTTGATACAGTAATGGAATACTATGAGATTTTAGTGTATTTAGTGAATATCACTTTTTCACATTTTTAAATTTCCCGCCAGTTCTGTCCCCCGTACGTCCCAGGGAACGGAACCCAGAAGACAGATGCCGGCATCAGCCGGAGGACATTGCCGGGGACACTGCAGTAGGGACATCGCGGGAGCGCAGGACAAGGTAAGTGAAGAACAGATCCCGGAGCAACGCTGCAGTGTATTCCCGAGTGTAGCTCGGGGTTACTGCTTGTGGTGCTGAAACTTTACCCCGAGCTACACTCAGGAATACCGCCAGGGAGGTTAATCAGCGTTTTCTGACAGGGGCGTTTTTAGGCTGGAAGAAAAAAAAAAAACAAAACAAACAGAACTAGTGGGTTTCTAGAGGAGTTTTTTTAGCTGTAAAAATGCTCTAAATGTTGGTAAACATGGAAAAATACAGCAAATAGGTGTTTTTGTTTAGCAAAAAAACATGTCCTTTGTGTGTAAAAATTGCTAAAAATCTGAAACACAGAAGAATGCAGCGAAACGCTAATGCAAAAACACTAAAACAAATAAACAAGCTGAAAAACTTGCATTTTTAACACGATTTTACACAGCGAACGCTACCATCATTATTACAACGCCCCGTGTGCATGGAGCCTTATGGCACAGGTCATAAAAGAGGACTTTATGACTTTACTATTGCTTTAAGAGCAGGATCTGATCACTTTCCTCAGATTAGAGTGATGAATGACATTTTTTTGTTCCCCCCCCCCAAGCGTGTCTTACTTGAAAGATGATGCTTTTAAAACCCTAAATTATATGTAAAAAACAATCATTAAACTCTCTTAAAAGCAATTACAAGTTAAAAGTAAAACTACATGTTCAGTATTTTTAAATCAGCATTTTTCATTAAAACAAGTGGTGATCCTGCCATGAAGGTCCTTGTGCAGCAGGCATATCCTGTTCTACAGCAACAAAGCTGTGTCCCTGTCATCCTGTCACATGCTCTCCCAATGTACCAACATGCACTGCACAGGCATGATCCACTGCTGTCATCAGGAAACCACCTAGAAAAAAAAAATGATGTGTGGCAGTTCCTGGGGTGCATGCAGACTGGATGAGATTAGCAACACAAATACCATGAATAGAATATTTGATGTTTTTACAAATGGCCATGGTTTATGATGTGCGGTGGCTTAACCCCTTCCCACCCAGCACCCCTTTAACTGCATCTAGGGCCAGGGTGTGGGTTGGACGCCCTGATCATGTGACCACTGTGATTGGCTGTCACAG